TCTGGATACCCCACTTGTGACGCTAGATACCACATTCATGCTCGATCCACTTGGCGATGCGCAGCCCGTTGTGCACATAGTTGCCGTGCTCCTGCAGCCACTCGGCACATTGACGCCGAATGCTGGCGGGCGTCGCCGCTCCAAAGAGCCACCCAGCGTCTTGCTGCTCGCAGTACGCGAAGGAATTGAAGAGGCACGAACCGTCTGGGGTCTGGGCCACGAGAGTACCGCGCCGAACGACAGCCTCCACGTCTGGGGAGAGGTTGCGCCTTGGGCCTTGCAACTGCGCGTCCGGATGCTTCCCGCGAGGCTTCGGGAAGTGTGGGCAGTCTATGGTCCGATGACGTTCGCCGCACCTGTCGCAGCAGGCCATGAGGCGAGACTCTCGAGCACCTTGGCACTCGCGCGAGAGCTCGACTTTTGACACGCGTGAAAAAGAATTCTACCTGCGTCTCGACACTGGAGCGCCGGCCCGCGACACCATCACCCAACGAGCGCCGGCCGCTAGTGATAGCCGCGCCACGCACGCGACGCGGCGGCGTTTCCTCACGGTACGTGAGTGTTGGTGGCGCTGTCGGTGGCAGCGCCACCGCAGGCATGGCACGGTGCGCTTGCCGCCTGGACGCGGCGCCACGGCCGTGCGCGCGATGACGAGCGCCTGCGGCGCATCGCCGCCACGATCACGGCACACCGTGAAGTGACACGCGACGTGGCGTTTCCTCACGGCACGTGAGTGTGCGGTGGTGGCGCTGTCGGTGGCAGCGCCACCGCAGGCATGGCACGGTGCGCTTGCCGCCTGGACGCGGCGCCACGGCCATGCGCGCGATGACGAGCGCCTGCGGCGCATCGCCGCCACGATCGTGACGCACCGTGGAGTGAGGTCGGGAGAGAGCAGGGAGTGTGTAGTGAGAGGCGCAATGGGCCCACCGAGAGGCGCCGCACCGCGTGCTTCAATGGGACGTCCACGAGCGAGGCAACGGCGAGCCAACGGCACCGTCCGCCGCAGAGCGCCAGCGCGGCGCGCCGAAGCAGCGAGGAGCCGCGCGCCGCCGCCCAGCGGCGCCTCGCAACAGTACACTGCGCACCGAGCAGTCGTCGAGGCTCTGCCGGGTGAAGTCACAGCCTGTTTGCATCGCCGACGCGTGGCTCAGACGCGTGCGGCGACGCTGCTGGGTCCCTCCGTGTGCCTGGGAGTGCGTGGACCGGCAGCTAAGGCTGTGGCGGATGGCTCGCCGGCGACTCGCTCGACGCTCGCAGCACTCGGCGGCGAGGAGGCGGCGCAGCCGAGTCGCGTCGCGAGCCACCGCTCGGGCCTGCTGGCAGCCTGCTGCGGACCCTGTGGCACCCGCCGGCCACGAGTGGAGCCGGGAGGAGGCCACGGGGGCGCTGCAAAGGCGGCGGCGGCGGCCATCCTGCGGCGTGTCGCGCCAGACGAGTGGGGGATACTCCAACTCTCCTTGCGTACTCAGACTCGTGCGACCTTTTGCGGCGACGCTCCGACAGATATGCTGCGGCAGTTCGTTCTGGCCGTGTCGGTCGCGAGGTCGGTTATCGCCCCGCCAGTCCCTTTGCCGCAAGAGCGCTCTGCCCTCGGTCGGCTCCCAGGTCTCGCGCTCCAGTTTGCATCCCACGATTACAGCTACGACCAGGAGCGCGTGAGGAGCGCACGGGCAACAGGTAATTACTACAAAAATGGACAGTGCCGCCAAAAAGCGGATGGGACTCCTCAGTGGCGTAAGAAGAAGAAGAACTCCTGGCACGACTGCGGCGATCACACCATCTGCGAGGAAGGCAGCGTCGGGTGCGAGTGCCAGGCGGGCTACCAAGGCGACGCTGTTAAATACCCGACGTGCACGGCGTGCAGCGCGGGCACCACGTCTGACGCCGGTGCCTCGCAGTGCACGGCTTACTCGGTGGCATTCGCAGCATTCACGGAACATAGCCAGTGCGACGGTCACATTCAGAGCATTGGGGGCAACGATGATGAATACGTCGTGGCAGTTGTCGACACTGGAGTAAGCGGGGGCGTAGCGAATGGCGCGGCCGCCTGCGAGGCTGCGTGCGAGGCTGCCACTCTACTCGGTGCGCAAGAGAGCGCCGGATGTTGCTTCTTGAACGCCTTCAATGGACGGTGCAAGTATTATAGCGGCTGGTTCGAGGCCAGCAGCGCGAAGACGGACGAGACGTACTCGGATTATTACTTTGCGACGACGGTGGACAAGTACGTGGCACCGTTCACCTTCACTTGTAGCGGCAGCGGCGCCGACCTCGAGGCGGGGCGGAGCAAGATGTGCTCCGGAGAAGCAACGACCGTCGCAACGCTTCTCCTTGGGGATGGGCAGTACTCCGCCTGCTACGACGCGTGCGCGCGCTACGCGCGCCTGGAGGGGCTGACGGGCACGGGGTGCTGCCGGATGAATGGCTTCAACGGCTACTGCAACTACTACCATGGAGGGGCCACCTCGGTCTCCACCTCGGTCCGGATGCGCGCATTAGACCTGTCTTGCTCAGGCGCGTGAACCTCAACACCGTACCTGCTACCTGTACGGCTTTACGACGAGGAGTCAGGACGAGATCGAAGGAGAGCCCCACGGACGGCATTAAAAGAGTGCGGAAGGGGAGAGGTTTTCGTCATGACATGCTACAACTTACATCTCTCTCGAAAAAAGAAAATGCAAACGCGAACAGCGGGAACGTTCCCCTCACCGGTGCCGGTCCTTTTGCTGCTGCCCGAGCGTGTGTCGCGCCAGCGCGACCGCGGTTGCCATGAGCAACCACTGGCGCAGTCCCGACGGGAGCAAGCCGCGCAACCGCCTGCGGTTCCGCACGAGCAGCAGCGCCACGGCCGCCAGGGCGACCGCCCGCGCCGCGCCCCAGCCCAGCCTGCGGAGCCGGCGCAGCCCGGCGCCGCCTCCGAGGAAGCGCAGCGCGTGCTGGCGCAGCACAAACAGCAGTAGCCACTCGGGAGCTTCGCCCGCGCTCCATGGCGGCAGCTGCGATGCGCACCCCCCAGTGGCGCCGGGGGCGGCGCCTGGGGCGGCGCCTGGGGCGGCGCCAGGTGCGGTGCTCGCCTCGCCGCCGCCGCCGCGAGCCGAGCCAGCAGCTGAGCCGCCCACGCCGCCGATGCGGCTGCCGCCGCCAGCGCTGCCACCAGTGCCTGTGCCGCCGCCGCCGTCTCCGCCGTCTCCGCCGTCTCCGCCGCCGAGCGTGGGGATCGCCTCCTCGAGCGGCGAGACGCGCAAGTACCCCGGCCCGCTCTCCCACGGTCGAAGTAGCTCCGAGAGCCTACGGCATGCGAGGTCACGACTACTGGAGAAGGAGACGGGGGCGGAGGTGAGGGCGGCGGCGAGGGAGGCAGAGGTGAGGGAAGCGGAGGTGAGGGCGGCGGCGAGGGAGGCAGAGGTGAGGGCGACAACTGAGACAACTGAGTACGTGTCCTCTCATCGGAACACACGGGCCTGTATTCCCATCTACCTGTATTCCCACATCTAGGCCTCGAGGTGTGGGGAGACGGGGAGAGAGGGGGAGAGAGGGGGAGAGAGGGGGCAGAGAGGGGGCAGAGAGGGGGCAGAGAGGGGGCAGAGAGGGGGCAGAGAGGGGGCAGAGAGGGGGCAGAGAGGGGGCAGAGAGGGGGCAGAGAGGGGGCAGAGAGGGGGCAGAGACGGGGAGAGACGGGGACAGTCTCGCATCTAGACTCGCCCACCTCTCGGGCAGCTCTGCATGCAGCCCGCGCTGCAGCAGCCGCGCCCGAAACCGGGGTGGCAGCCTAGTGTGCCACCAATGCCATGTCGTGAAGACGGCATCGCGCCGTGCAGTCGGAGCACCGCGTGGGTCCACGGGCTGCGAACGCAGTGGAATGCAGCGGAATACGGCCGAATGCGTGTCCTCGCGAGTGTTGGTCGGAAGACAACGATCCGTGCTCAGCTTCTAGGGGCGGTTGGCCGCTGCAGCGCGGCGCCGCGGTCCGCCTCGGGGACGAGCAGCACGCCGGTGAGCTGTAGCGCCCGCGCCACCGCCTGCGCCAGCGGCGCGTCCCTCCCCAGAAGCTCGAGCGGCGGCGTGTGGAGGAGGGCGGCGCGCAGCGAGGGCGGCAGCGCGGCCGCGAGGCCGCACTCCTGGAGCTGCAGCCAGAGCGCGGCGGACCAGCACGCGCCGCTGAGGGAGAGGCTCACGCTGAGCAGCGCGCTCACGCCTAGCACCGCGCGCGGCACCAGGGTCGCCACCAGCCAGAGGAGCGACGCGGAGCCGACCAGCGCGCTCGTCGCGCGGAGCACGTACAAGGACGGCCGCCCGGCCGCCCAGCCCGGCAGCAGGCTCCACCGCAGCCACGCGCCCACGATGCAGTGGAGCACGGTCGCGGAGAGGCACCAGTCGAGCACTTGCAGCCCGGCGACGCTGAGGCACTCCTCCGGCCACACGCCGGCGGTCCACGCCAAGGGCGCGCTCGCCGCGATGCCGCCGGCGGCCAGCCAGACCAAGGCGTCGGAGTAGTAGAGTCGCCCGCCCCACCAGACCAGCATTGTGTGCGACGGCGGCGACGGAGGGGACGGGCGGCAACTCTCGAAGGGCAAGCTAGCAGCAACCTGGCTTCTCGCGGGGCGAGAAGAAAACGGCGCATTTTTCTTTGTTCTTGTTGAGAAGACTCGGACGTCCTTCTGCTGACATCATGGCGACCCACTTGTCGGGTCTGACTCCAAGCGCAAGCTGGATGATTCCGAGGAGCCCGAGGCGGCGCGCCAATGCATTCGGGCTGACTGCAGCAAATCGCTTGGTCAATCGCTTGCACCCTGCTGCGGTGCGTCCTATCAGCTCGCTCCGCCAGATTACCCGCCGCGAGCCGCGCTCATACGGCCCATCGATGGGCTACGGCGCCAAGTACGCCGAGGTGGAGAAGCCGGGTGAGGAAGCTCGGCCGCGGCTAGCCGAGATGCGGACCCGGGTGGAGGGCTTCTGCCTGACGCCACGAGAGGTCAAGGCGCACCTCGACCGCGTCGTCATCGCGCAAGACGAGGCGAAGAAGGCGCTCGCCGTCGCAATCTGCAACCACTACAACCACGTGCGCCGCTGCCTGGAGGACGCTACCCTGGCGGACAGGCACCACCTCAAGCCGAATGTGCTCCTGCTCGGCCCCTCTGGCTCCGGCAAGACACACCTGATGAGGGCGGCGGCGGAGCTGCTCGGCGTGCCCTTTGTGCGAGCGGACGCGACTCGCTTCTCGGCGACAGGATACATTGGCGCAGACGCGGAGGAAACTGTGCGCCAGCTGCTGCCTGCTGCGAATGGCGATCTCGCTCTGGCGGAGTTTGGTGTGGTCTACATCGACGAGGTCGACAAACTGGCCCAGGGCCCGGGCGGCGGTGGGCATGAACGGGGCGGCGTGAACACGCGAGAAGTACAGGCGTCGCTGCTAAAGCTCATGGAAGACGGGGTTGTCCCCTTGACACCGGGCCCTGGCAGAGGCGCCGTGCGTGGCCCACCGGCACCGGCGGGCGGCCCATCCGCAAGCCTGCGGACCCGGCACATCCTGTTCGTCTTCTCGGGCGCCTTCTCCTCGTGCGAGTCTCCGCCCGTCAGCAGCGAGGATTTTGTGCGGGCGGGCCTCTGCGCCGAGTTCATAGGGCGCATCCCGGTGCGCGTTGCGCTGCAGCAGCTGACGGACCACGACCTTCTGCGCGTACTGACCGAGGCGAGTCGCTCATATTTGCACGCAGCCTGCTCCTCGATCACTCTCTCCGATTGCGCGTAGGCGCGCGATAACGTCGTCGAGCAGCTGCAGGCCGACTTTGGAGCGTATGGGATTGAGTTGCACCTGACGCGGGGAGCGTTGGAGGTGGTGGCAAGCCGCGCTGCCAGCCAGGGCACCGGCGCGCGAGGTTTGATGACCATCTTGGAGGCCGCGCTGCGCCCTTTTAATTTCCAATTGCCTTCCACGAGCATCACGCGCCTCGAGGTTTGCGGGCCTCCCTCCTCCCGGTCTCTCGCAACCCTGGCCAACGCCGAGCTCGCAACTCCCACCCTGCGACAGGTGGACGACGCCATGATTCGAGAGCCGGAGAAGGCGCTCGCAAAGCTGATGGCGAAGGAACTTTCCATGTGAGCATTTGCTCCCCCGAGAAGCAGCTCCCTCCCTCCTAAAAAAAGCGGGACACGCATGTCCCTCCCTGCCTGCGCAGAAAGACGCTGTCGTTTCGTCTTGTTCATTGCTCAAAGTCTCTCTCTCTGTGTATTGTGTTCGGGACGGTCCACAACAAAGCAGCTCAACCCACACCTCAACCTCGTCGACGGCAGCCTTGGGCTCGCAACGACCGTGCCAGGCATGGTCGGCGTCGAGGCCGGCAACGTCGTCGACAAGGACCTGGTGGAGGTGAGGGAGGCGACCGTGGAGGCCGACGAGGATGCCAGAGCATGATAATGTCGATCGGGCGTCAGGAATATGCGCGCTCCGCAGCCTGTTTGGCGACTCGCTAGCTCCTGGTGCCCGTGCCGGGTGGCCCTCAAGCCTCGGAATGGAAGGGCGGCAGACACCCGCGAGGAGAGGGAAAGGTGCCGCAAGTGGCGTCGCGCGGCGCTCTGCGCCTTCGTTGACGACGGCCCACGCCGACACCTTGGTGGTTACGTGGCTGGGTTCACAGCGATTGTAGGAAAATGTCGGGACCAAATCACGGTCGCGGCCTTCCGACTCGCGCCTCCGCCTCACTGGCACTATTGTAGCCCTGGCCGGTGCGCGTGCTCAGTTGAAGTTCCGGAGTGAAAATTCGAACGCGTTCTCTCCCGGTGACCAAAAAATGTCCACCTCAGAGGCACCTCCGGAGGCAGGCCGCCGCACGCCGGCGACACAGCTCCAGCTGTCGAACTGACCCGCAGCTCCTCTCAGAGCGGGAACTGTGACAAAAGTTGACTGAGGCGGTTGTCAGGAATCATCATACGGATCACATGGTGGCTCTTTCATGACGGGAGACCGACCGACCACTCCTGGGTGGCACTGCCACCGGTGTCGCTCGACGTCCTGTCGACAGCGTGCCGACAGCGACACAGACCATGTGGGACGCGTCGAGTATCGACCTCTACTGCTTACCCAGCCTTCGAGTGTATCCTGGCTGTGGTCCCACACCCACTGGTGTCCATCTCAGAGACCGCAGGAGGTCATGAGGGTCGATGGGAGTGCCAACCCCACAATGCCTAAAAACCCAGCCCAGTACTTCAGTCTCTCCCTCTGTGTAAGGTAAGGTTACTTCAGTCTCTCCCTCTGTGTTAGTGCGAGTGCGCGCCAGTCCCGTGTCCGTGTTGTGCGAGAGAGTTTTGTTGTAAATTTCTCTCCCTCTCTCAATCCCTCACGTTCTGCAGATATTCTCTTCCATGAACACGTTAAACTCTCTCGGCGCTCATGTACGCACTGCACCCAAGACCGCAAGAGCATGTTGACCCGTGCGTCTGGGCGCACTAATAGACGGATGGCGCGGCGGCACCCATGCCATGTGGAAAGCGCTAGGGCGAGTTGTGCGTGCGAGGGCAGGATCACGCGTCGTCGGCAGCAGAGATAAGAGCGTTGCATGTGCGGTTAGGCGGCGGGAGCAGGCTCGCCAGCCCCCTTCTCCTCTGCAGGCTCCACCGTCTCCGCCGGCACCACCTTCTCCGCTGGTGCCCTTTCGCGCGCCCACGCCATCTCGAGGGGCTTTGGCGCTGCGACCCCAGGCGGGGCGCCGCTGCGGCGCGGCAGTATCTCGCGTGTCTCTGGCGACGGTGGGTCGGTGTCGAGGTTCTCCCTGCGGACCTTTTCCGCCTGCGCCCGCACCGCCGCGCAGAACGCCTCGCCATCCTTTGGCCCGGCGATGACCGCCGCGAGTCGGCCCGAGCGGGCGGCGTAGCCGTCGACGTGCGCAGCCGCGCCGATGAGCCTGAAGGCCTCCTTCTCGTGGGCAGACTGCTGGACGGTGATGACGAGGTGGTCGGGGCCGTCGGGGCAGCCGCAGCAGCCGCGCGGCGACGCGACGACCGAGATATCCTCAAGCTCCTCAAGACGGATCACTGCCTGCCGGTCGGGGACGTGCACCTATCAGAGGGCAGATTTGGAAAGATCTCGAGGCGAGTACACAGACAGACGCTCGAAACCCCATCAGGAAACTCCTTGTCGGCGCCGCACGGCCCACCGAGGCCGGCGCAGAGCCCGCCCGGCCAGCAGCAGCTCGGCACGTAGACGCCGTCGCTCCTCGCCGCGGGCGCCACGTGCTCGTCCACCTCGAGCAGCAGCGTCCTGTCACGCAGCACGAGGCGGTGCGCCCTCGCGACCTCTCGCTCGTGCGCGGGGAACCGGAGGAGCATGTAGCAGCTGGAGCAGGTCAGCAGGCTGTAGGGCGACCAGCAGCGCAACGAGGCGAGCCACGCGCGCTGATGGGCCGCCACCCGGCGCTGCGCGTCCACCTCAAGCACGCGGTGCTCGCTGTCGGTGGCGTAGTGCATCAGGAGCTGGCCGGCGCTCTGCTGCTCGACGCCGCCGTGCATCGGCGACGCCACTGTCTCCGTCATGAGAGTGGCGAGCGCGTCCGCAGCGCGCTCCGTCGTGGTGGGCACCATCGAGAGGAGGAACTAGTTGACGGCGCGAGAGTCAAGGAACTCCCGGCGCCCGCTTCGCGCGATTGTTTTTTGTGATCCGTGATCTGCCCGGCGGCGGCGGCGCATTTTGCACACATGCACACAGGTCGGACCTTGCTTAAGACAGCATTGTAGATCCCTGGGCGAGGGTGGTGGTCTGGTGGAGAGGGCTGTCCGGCGGCGGACCGCCGGCGGACGGAGGACCCACGTCCCGCTTTTCGCGGGCAGGCAGGTTCTCATCCCCCGTGATCCAGGCAGCCCGTTGGAGGTAGGCCGCTCGTCAAGTGCTCCAAGTGCGAGAGGCGGCAGCCTCTGCCCTCGGAGAGGGGGGGGGCGCTCCACCTCTCGGGTGGACAAGCTGGTCCTTTCTAGAAATCCGCGATAACGCGCGGGTGGTGGAAAAGATAGCTCCTGGTGTGGCTCCACAGCAAACCCGCCCGGCGACGCCTCGGCGACGCGCCGACCCCACGACCCGGGCGGCCGCCCTTCTCCGGGTCCGGCCGGGCTCCGCTCAGCGAGCCACAGCGTCTCACTCACAGCACTCAGTGCACGCGCTGGCTTTTCTTGACAGCTGGTGTACCAGGGAAGAGCCTAGTATCTCAGTAAATTATACCAAGGCAGGCCTATGAGATAACGGACTGGTGTCTGGTTTGTCCACCCCTCCCTCCTAGTCGTACCTGTCGTCGCGCACCCACACGGCTCTCTATCGGTTCCTCGCCCGGTCTGGATAGTACCCCAGTCCCGCGCCCCCGAGCTTGTACACCATCCCCGGCCGCGCGCCACGGAATGTGGGCGTCGGGATAAAGCCCTCGCCACTGTCAGTCGAAGGCTCAGGCTCGCCGCAATCATGGGGAGAGGCTCCATCCTGCAGCTGCGGTATCGTGAGGTCGGGCATGAAGGTGAGGTGCACGACGGACGCACCAGCGAGCAGCGACCCGAACGAAAGGAGGTAGCGGTTGGCCAGCTGCGTGTAGGTTGGCGCGCCGATCCCGGCGGAGGCCGCAGCCTTCGCCGCAGCCCTCTCCTCGGCGGCAAAGGCCTTCGGGCCGGCCGCAGCCCGCGAGACGAGCGTCCGCGACGCAGCGGCGGCGAAGGCCTTCGGACCTGGCGCAGCCCGCGACGCGGCGGCGCGGGGCGCGTGCAGCGCACCTCGGCGCACGACTCCTGACATGGACGAGTCGGCTGTTCTTTTTTTCGCCGACCTCGTTGCTCTGTGTACGCCTACTCAGGGTGTGTGGCAGCCCGCTGGCTGTGTGTCTTGTGAGCCTGTTTGTGTCTGTGTGTCGCTCGTGCGTGTCGTCATCATCTGTCTAGCGTCCACCCATACCGCGTTGGTGTCCAGTCCGAGCTTGGCTGTTCTTCACCTTTCTACCTACCTACCTACCTTGCTCTCCCGCACGGCTGCGGCGGGGCGCGCGGGGGGGCGGCGGGTTTGTGGGATGCGCTTGGGGCGAGAGAGATGTGTCATTGGGAGAGCCATAACCAAAAAAAATCTACTCTCGTGAGCTGTGAACAGACGCACTTGCCCAAATCCGCGCCATTCGCTCTCACCTGGCAACCCTGTCTGCACGTCTCGCGCGCGCGTGAACAGGGCTCCAGACCCCAAATTACGTGTGAGTGTTAGAGTTGTTTGGTATTGCTAAAAATCTCTCTCAAATCCGCTAGCGGCTAGGTTGGGCGTGCTTTCACAGCCTCACGAGAGTAAAAAAAATCGGGTCGGCCGTATCGTGAGTCGGCGTGGCGCCCATCGGCGTGGCGCCCATCTCTGGGAGGTGCCCGCTCTATTGCGTGGCGCTGCCGCTCCGCACCCTCCCGTTTCCTCGAGCCCGTCTCGCCGTCGAAGGCCTTCGCCACTCCTGAGAGAGAGATTTTAGAGAGAGATTTTTAGCAATACCAAACAACTCTAACACTCACACGTAATTTGGGGCCTGGAGCCCTGTTCACGCGCGCGCGAGACGTGCAGACAGGGTTTGTTGAGATTTTAGCAATTCGCCACTCCTGCCGATCCACCGCGATGAGGTGCACTGCGACGATCTCGGTGTTGGCGGCGCTGTCATCTCTCCTGAGCTTCGCCACCGCCGCTCGTGCTCCGCGGCCTGGCGCAGCCCGCGACGCGGCGAGGGCACCTCGCCGCAAGAGCGAGCCGACTCCTGACATCGATGTCCACTTTTCTTTTTCTCCCCCCTCCCCCCTCACCTGCGGCGGGGCGCGCTCGGGGGCGGCGGGTGTGCCGCTGCCTTCGGCGAGATATATCTGTAATAAAAAATGGGACCGCTTGCAAGGGACCATTGGGCTTGTACTATTAACAACGAAGGCGCTCTCAAAAAAAATTATAGTTAGAGGCTGCGCAGGCCTCCCCCGGTTTATGTTGGGCGCTCCGGGCAGAGCCCCCGTTTTTAAAAACCTCCGAGAAGGGGGGAGGCACTCTTAACTCGGCGGTTCTGTGACAAAGGGGAAAACCCCCACAGCGGAGGTGGCCGGATACCATCTAGGAGCACTGAGACGCGCACGTGGACTGTCCGGCCCTTATTTCTGTGCCGGAGAGGGACCAGGGGTCCACCCCCACGCCTCGCGCGCTCTGAGAGCTGTCACGAGAGGTGGGCCACCTCTCGGCTCACGCCGCTGACCCAAGCACCCAACTGCATGCGTGGCGGCGCCGGCGGCGCAGTCAGAGTACAGAGAAGGCGAGAGTGTGCACAGGCTGTGCGCACCGCGGCCGGGACGGTGCGGAGAGGCTCGCCAAGGCCCAAGCACCGCTCAGCGGCGAGGGGGAGGGCGGTGGCGGCGGCGGCGAGGCGCGAGGCGGTGGCAGCGGTGGTGCGGACGGCGGGATTGACAGGGGAGGCGGCGGCCACGAGGGAGCGGCGGCGAGAGGGGGGCAGCGGCGAGGCGCGCCGGCGAGCGAGGCGCCCGCGCCATCAGAGGGACGCCGCCGCGAGATGGAGGGCGGCGGTGACGGAGGCGAGGGTCGAGGCGGCGGCGGCGGCGGCGGCGGCGAGAACGGCGGCACCGAGTTTGTCTCGGTGAGCGGACCGGCGGCGGGAGGAGGAGCAGCGGCGGCGCTCTCGCTGTTGAGCGTGCTGTTTTGAGCCTGGGATCCCATGTCACTGCGACCGGCGTGCCCGGGAACGGAGATCGCGCGCGCGCCGCATTCACGACGCGCGCGCGATCTTCGCGGAGTCGGGTCCCCAGAGGGCAGCGGTCTTTTTGGCCGACGTCCAGCGGCGCGCAAGGAAGCAGGCGCAGCGCCGGCGGTGTCGCGCTGCATGGGCCAGCAGGGTGCAGTGGCGAGGGGCGGCGGGCTCGGACGTCCACCGAGTCGCTCCGCGCGCCAGGCGGAGCGCGCGCGCGGGCCAGGAAGCTCTCAGCAGGCTGAAGAGGACATCTGCGCTTATTGCGGGCGGAGGCGGGACTCCACTTTGTATTCGGCACACGCCTCCCTACCGGTATAAATACCGGGGGAGGTATGCTCGGCTCTTCTGCTCCCTCGTCGGATGATGTTGCGCACCGCGACGATCTCACTATTGGCGGCGCTGTCATCTCTCCTGAGCGTCGCCGCCGCCGCTCATGCTCCGCGGCCGCCCACTCCGTCGAGGATCAAGCTTACGCAGAACTTCCGCGAGGCAGCGGCGCTCTCCGCCAAGCTTGCGGACCCCGCGACGCCGCAGCAGCGCAAAAAGGTGGCCGTCATCGGCGGCGGCCTGTCTGGCCTCGCGTGCGCCAAGTACCTCTCCGACGCCGGCCACACGCCGCTCGTCCTCGAGGCGCGCGACGTGCTCGGCGGCAAGGTGTCCGCATGGCAGGACGCCGACGGCGACATGATCGAGACGGGCCTGCACATCTTTTTTGGCGCGTACCCAAACATGATGAACCTCTTCCAGGAGCTCGGCATCGAGGACCGGCTGCAGTGGAAGGCGCACCGCATGACGTTTGCCATGCCGCAGCTGCCCGGCGAGTTCACCTCGTTCGACTTCCCAGACGGTGTGCCCGCGCCGCTCAACATGGCGGCGGCCATCCTGGGCAACACAGAGATGCTCTCGCTCCTCGACAAGGTGCGGATGGTGCCCGGCCTGCTGCCGATGCTGCTCGAGGGCCAGCCGTTCATCGACGCGCAGGACGAGCTGAGCGTCAAGGAGTTCATGGACAAGTACGGCATGCCGGAGACGGTCAACGAGGAGATCTTCATCGCGATGGCAAAGGCGCTCTACCACACCGCCCATAGTCCTGAACCCACACTGGACTCGGCAGTATGGAGGTATGGCACTAGGCGCTCGACTTCATGGACCCCGACCGCATGTCGATGGCGGTGGTGCTCACCGCGATGAATCGCTTCATCAACGAGGCGGACGGCTCGCAGGTGCGCGTGCGTGCGTGCGTGTGTGTGTGTGTGTGTGTGTGTGTGTGCGTGTGTGTGTGTGTCACCCGCCCGCCGACCCTGCACCCTCCCTGTGTGTGTGTCACCCGCCCGTCACCGACCCGTCACCGACCCGTCACCCTCCCTCCCCTCCCTGATGCACAGACCGCATTCCTCGACGGCGGCCAGCCGGAGCGCCTCTGCGCGCCGGTGGTGGATCACGTCCTCTCCCGCGGCGGCGAGGTGCGGCTCGGCGAGAAGGAGCCATTCATCACGAGTTTGAAGAGCTGGTGATTGCTGATGCGAGGTGCGGCTCGGCGCGCCGCTCGCCGCTATCGAGGTTGGCGACGACGGGCAGGTTGCCTGCCTGCGGCTTGCGGATGGCTCTTCTGTGGAGGCGGACGTGTACGTCTCCGCCGTGCCGGTGGACGTCTTCAAGAAGCTCCTGCCCGCCTCGTGGTCGACGATGCCCTTCTTCCGCCAGGTCTCCCCGCTCCCGCCTCCCCTCCGCCTCCTCCCGCCGCCACCACGTCTCGCGCCGCTACGCGTGCCCCTGCCACCACCGCCCCGTGACCCGCCCCCTCGTGACCCGTGCCAGACCGAGGAGCTGATCGGCATCCCGGTGCGGCCTGCTACCGCACCACCCACGGGACCGAACCCACGCTGGACTCGATACCCTGGAGGTGTGGTACTAGGTCATCAACGTGCAGCTCTGGTTCGACAAGAAGCTCCGCTCGGTGGACGGGCTCTGCTTCTCGCGCTCTAATTCATAGATCATTGACACGAGTTCACTGTGAGCTAGGTGGACGGGCTCTGCTTCTCGCGCTCGCCGCTCCTGTCTGTGTACGCCGACATGAGCACTTGTGTCGAAGAGTACGCCGACGCGGACAGGTCGCTCGCCCACGCGCACTGGGCCTCGCACGTTGAATGCCGGGCCAGCTCCTGCCTGTCTCTCGCGAGGGCTAGCTTGGCCCTTGCCCCACCACCGTGTGTGCGTCGCTCACCGCCGGGGCAGGCGCTTGGCGGCGCCGCTGCGCAATGTGGAGAAGTGTACCTGACCTGACCTCACCGGACAGGTCGATGCTCGAGCTTGTCTCTGAGTATTAATTAAGCGCGAGATTATTAATTAATAATCATTGACAGGTCGATGCTCGAGCTCGTCTTTGCGCCTGCGACGCGCGAGGTCGGCGCGGACAGGAACTGGATCGGCGCGTCGGACGCGGAGGTGGTCGCCGCGTGCTTGGGCGAGCTGAGCAGGCTCTTCCCGGGCGAGATTGGCGGCGAGGGCGGCGCTGAGCTGCTCAAGCACGCCGTCGTCCGCACGCCGCGCTCCGTGTACGCCGCCACGCCCGGCCGCAACCGCTACCGGCCGAGCCAGGCGACGTTTCCCAGACACTTCCTCAGAGACCCTTCCCAGACACTTCCTACCGGCCGAGCCAGGCGACGTTTCCCAGACACTTCCTCAGAGACCCTTCCCAGACACTTCCTACCGGCCGAGCCAGGCGACGCTTCCTAGACGCTTCCTCAGAGACCCTTCCCAGACACTTCCTACCGGCCGAGCCAGGCGACGCTTCCTAGACGCTTCCTCAGAGACCCTTCCCAGACACTTCCTACCGGCCGAGCCAGGCGACGCCCGTCCCCAACTTTGTGCTCGCGGGCGACTGGACAAGCCAAAAGTTCCTCGGCTCGATGGAGGGGGCGGTGCTGGCGGGCAAGCTCGCGGCCGAGGTCATCGCCGACCGCGCCGCCGGCCGCGCCGCCGCGACGTCGCAGACGCTCAAGCCCGTGCACGAGGAGGTGGTCGCCGCGGCCGAGGGCGCCGCCCCGCGCGAGCCAGTGGGCGTGCGCGGGCGGCACCCAATTGCCTTTGGCGGCGGGCAGCAGGGCTTGGGAGAGACGAAGTTTGAGCACGCGTGACCGCGCGAGGGGGCGGGGGGGCGGGTCTCGCCACACGCCAGCAGCGAGCAGGGCCAGGCCCAGGGCGAGGGGTCCCGGGCGCATTTTAATACGTGTACAGGCTACAGCAGGCATGGCTCTCCTCTCTACACACACACACACACACATACGTCAGTACGGTGTGTTCGGGGTTACACCTCATACAACTGACACTTGAAAGAGACCTGACAGAGGTCTCCAGAGGTGTAGTGCGGGAATTCTGGCAGACCACACACACACACATAAACACACGGCGTCGCTCGGACTCGCTGTGGGAGAGAGTACTTTCCCAACAAGGAATACAACCGATACCCGCGGCTCACGCAACGTGTGCATTGTCGAGAGCGGCGCGCCGCGTCGCGAGCTGTGCTTTGCACAAGCACAAGCACGGATGGACCGGGAGATACCGGGTGAGGCGGTGCGGCCGGCGGCGGCGGCTGTCCGCCGGCTGGCGAGGCGCCCTCGCGTCACACCGTCTCATTCTCGTGGTGCACGTAGAAGGAGGAGTTGATCGGCTCGTAGTGCCGCCACAGCGCCTCTTCTCCCTCGAAGCGGCACTGCACCTGTTCGATGCCCACGACACAGGTGGGTAGAGAGGTGAAGACCAGTCTGGCCAGCGACGGGACACCGGGCGCTATGGGTGGGACACAAGCGAGGCGAGAGACGGCCACAGAGGAGCGACACACAGACACACAGACTAGACACTCAGCCAGCTGGGCTGCCACACAAGGCCGTGTCTAGGACGCCCACGAGGCTGTCTGGGACGCCCACGAGGCGGGTCTTGGGCGCGCAGGTCTTGGGCGCGGATGAGACCCTGGGAAGTGTGAACTTCTGCGCTGTGTGAGGGTGGTGTGGTGGTGGGTGGGTGAGGGTGGGTGGGGGGACTATGCCCGGGGAACAGCACCTGCCCGTGCGGCGGCAGCGAGACGACCAGCGCGTGCGCCGCCTCCAGCAGGTCGGGCTCAAAGGCCATGTCGCCTTAGCGGAAGGTTCCGAGACGCTTCACGGAAGTGTCCGCGAGGCGCAGGGAGGGGGCGCGGCGCTGGTCGCCGCTCGCGTGGACACGCAGCTCCATCAGCATGCAGTGCAGCGGCGGCAGAACATACTTGAGCGGCGGCGGAGAGATCAGGCCGCACCCGACCTCGGCAGAGGCGTCCGCCGCGCCGGGCTCGGCTGGGGGCACCGCAGCGCACCACCCAACCTGCTCGACCGCGAGCGGGCGGCCGTCGCGCAGCAGCAGCAGCATGTGGCCGCCTCCGAGCAGGCAGAGTGTCTCGGGCCGCAGGTTCTGCAGCAGCAGCTTGCAGCTGAGGCGCGGCGAGGTGCAGCCGTCGAGCGGAGGTAGCAGCCGGCAGGCGGGTTGGTGGTTGATCAGCAGCCACGCGGCGAGGCGGCCCGACTCGCCGAGTGCGTGGTGGACCGCCCGCGGCGAGAGGGCGGCGCAGCACGGCCGCCGCCGCCGCCGGTGGAAGACACGCCACACCTCGCGCCACGAGCGCTCGCCATGAACATACTTGCCGGAGCGCGACCGGCGGCGAGTCGCGAGGCGCCACCGGGTGGTGACGGCGTTCTCCCAAAGCTCCTCCCCGGCAGCGACCGTGCGCCAGGCGTGGCAGACCTGCATCGCCGCCGCGAGCGTCCAGCCGCACCGGGCCTGCGCCAGGCAGAGCGAGAGGACGTCGTCGCCGAGCGAGTCGATGGCGGGGTCCGCCTTGACGCTGGTCGGCTCGAGCGCCGCCTCGAGCGGTGCGGCACGGCGGTCGATGCCGAGGGCTCGCCAGCCAGCTGCGGCCACCGCGGAGGCGTCTTCAGTTGGGAGGTGATGATTCATCGGCGGCCTTATGCGGCCTTGATGCAGGTGCACTGCACCGAAAGTGCGGCCGTTCAGCACGCACCAAAGTACGTCTAATTTTTTCTGCCGCCCAACCGATTCCACCGAGGAAGACTCGCAGAGCCGCCCTCGCAGATGCCCTCCAACCTCTTGCTCACGAAAATCGGCACAGCGATCCTGCAACTTGCCGCTCGCGTGGGTGCCACCGGCGGCAGCGGCTTCGGCGTGCCCTCAAGAAAGAAAGCGTGCAATGACGTGCCCGCCGACAATGTCGGCGGCGAATCCAAACCGATGAAAGCGAGCAGACCGCCAACACACCGCCGCGCAAGCCGAGACAGCAAGCATGCCCTTTGTCTTCTTTCTTGCCCTGCTTGCGTCCGTCACGGCGGCGCCTACCACGAAAGACCGGCGCGCGAACGAACAACCCAAAGTTCGTTTGGTTGTCACCGGCGAGACCAACGTGGCGAGGACCACGCGTGGCGCGCGAGCTTCAAACCGGGTGGCGCAGATGGCTCGGGGCGGAAACGTCACTATGAGCTACAGTTACCCGGCGTCGTACCCCTCGATAATGAGTGTCGCCGCCACCGACAGCAGCGACGCGAAGGCGAGCTTCTCGCAGTTCAACGACGAAGTCGACATCGCAGCGCCAGGCGTCGACGTCGTCTCGACCGTCGGTGCCACCCCTGTGCGAGAAGGCCGCAGCGCCGCCGCTCTCCCACCGCTCTCACGCGATCATTGTCTCCTACCTAGGCCCTCCGAGCGACACTGGGGTCGGCCCCCCGGGCTATGATTCGTACGATGGGACCTCCATGGCCGCGCCGCACGTCTCTGGCCTTGCAATGGTGCTCTGGAACAAGTGAGCCCCCCCCCCCCCCCCCCGCACGCACGCACGCACGCGGAGGTCGGACCCGAGCCGCCGCGTCAGACACGCTTCGCGGCCACGCAGGTACCCGTCCTATACCAACGCCGAGGACCGCACGGCGCTTGAGGGGGGCGCCGAGGATCTGGGCGAGCCCGGCCGCGACAACGAGTTCGGCCATGGCCTCGCCAACTACCAGGGAGCCGAGATGAGGTTGGGCGCGCCATCGCCGCCGCCGTCGCCACCGGCCACGCCCCCGGCGCCGCCGCCGCCGCCGGCCCTGCCGCCGCCGTCCTTGCCGTCATGCCCGCTCGGCGACGTCTTCACCACCGGCCCGTGCTTGATCACCGACGGCGGCTCGTGCGCCACCTCGCCCGACTTCCCGAACGACTACCCGGTCAACGAGGACTGCACCCTCTACGGCATGCCGCCGGTCGGGCTGGACGTGATCGCCTTTGACGTGGAGGAGCACTCCAACTGCATCTGGGACTACCTCACCGTCAACGGCGTAAAGTACTGCGGCACCTCGAGCCCGGCCGGGGTCGTGCCGTCCTCCTCGAAGGCGTCCTCGCTCGTGAGCTGCTCGCCGCTTCTCATGCCCGACCTCGTGCTCATCCTCCTCGCCATCGCCTGCGGCGCCTCCTGGCCCACCGCGGCGAGCGGAAAGGGGGCTCGCGGCGCGGCGTGGGCCACTTGTTTCGCCGCCGCCACGGCGTACCTCTCCGGCGCGGCGGCGGCACCTGTCGGTTTCTCCGCAAGCGCTTTGCCGTGGCTCGCAGCGGGTCCCCCAGCGGGTCCCCCGAAGGTCGCCGCCGCAGTCGCCGCCTTGGCCGTCGTCGGCACGGTGACGTGGCGCCGCAACTTAAAGGTTTGGCCACCGTCGCTGGCGGTTTGGGTCACTGTCGCGCTTGTCGCAGCCTCAACGACCGTGCTCTTCATCACAGCTGCCTTCCTCGTCGCCGCCGTTTGCAGCTGGCGGCTGTTCGGGATGGCTGGCGGCCGAGACGACAAGAGCAGCTCGAGATCCGCCGCCTCGCTCGAGCCTGCCGAACGTCGTTGCCGCCATCGCACGCCGTCTCAGATTCACCACCAGCAGTTCAATTCGCATAGCTGCTTGGTCCTGCTTTGCGCCTTTGGTATGCTTGCTCCTTGCGAGGCTCGTCCGTCGCCACCTGTGTTCCCGTCGCAGCCATCCCCGCACGCTCGACGCGAGCTCAACGACCGTCGCCTCAGCCCGGCGGTCTTCGACTACGCCGATCCGAAGGAGGTCGCCACGCGGCTCAACTGCACCTTTGCCGGCGTCATCGCCGAGGACCACTTCGACGCGGGCATCGGCGCGGCCTTTGGCGTCTGCGAGGACGTCGCCGCGCCGCACACGCTGCACAAGCTCGCGATCGCGACGCAGTGCGCCGACTTTGCCTACGGCGCGCGGCTCTCGCTCGAGGTGCGGCGCGTCGTGCGGGCGGCGCTCGTCGCCGCCGAGGCCGCCGCACGCAACTCGACGCTCGCCACAAGCACGACCGCCTCCGCGTCCTGGGGCATCGTGCGCGTGCTCTCGAACGTGCCCGCCACCACCACGCCCACCACCATCGGCGGCTTGCCCGCGCCGTCGCCTCGCCTCGCGGCCAGCGCCGCCGCGACGGGGACGGCGGCCTTCTCCGTCGGGACGGCGGCCTTCTCCGTCGGCGCCGAGCCGCGCACTTTCCTCGCCATCCGCCTCGAGTACACCGACTACAGCCCCACCTACTGCTCCGAGGCGTGCGTGCGCGACGGCTTCACCCACCCGTCGGGCGTGCGCCAGCCGGGGACCGTCGAGTACGCCACCGAGCTCTCGTCGTACGAGATCCTCGAGTGGACGTCCGTCGAGGTCGTCACGGTGCAGATGGGCCAGCCCGTCTCCGCCATCGCCGGCTGCGACTGGGGCCAGCACGTCTGGCCCGCGACGAGCCGTGCCCTCTCGCTCATGGCGACGCAGCACCCGAGCGTCTCGACCACCTCGCCGACGCAACACATCGAGTTCTGGCTGCCGCACACCTCCGTCTCGCAGTGCTCGTGGGGCGGCCTCGGCCAGCTCGGCGGGCGGTACACGTGGGAGGTGCAGTACTCTTCGTACGCCAACCTCAATGGCATCCGCGTGCACGAGCTCGGCCATAACCTCGGGCTGCACCACTCGGGGGAGATGGACGTCGACGGCAACGCGCTCAACGAGTACGGCGACTACTCGGCGGTGATGGGCTCGAGCGCGCGCACCAACTGCCCGGGCGTCGTGCTGCCCAACCTGATCACGCTCGGCTGGCTCGAACGCAACACGCACACGCGCGACTGGGGCGGCGCGGCCATCGTCGCCATCTCCGACCTTCGCGTCGACCCCTTTGCCTCCGGCTCCGCGGCCGGCCGCGCATACGGCGTGCGCCTCCCCGTGGCGGGATCGAACATGGCCGTGTGGGTCTCGTACCGCACGGGCGCAGGGCTCGACGCCACCCTCTCGAGTGAGGTCAAGGGCCGGCTCTCGGTCCATTACGCGCCCGCCAATGGCGAGCGCAACACGCTCACGTATGCCCTCGGCTTCCCTGCCGTCGGCACGCCCTTTGTGGTACGGCCGCAGCGCGCGTGGGCCGCCTGCTCGAGCGGCGGATGCGTGCATGCGCTGCAGATGTGCACCGCTGGCGCCGCCGAGGCGATGGTCGCTCTCGTCGTCGAGGACTCGGACGACGACGCCATCGCCGCCGCGCAGCGCCTGTGCGCCACGCCATCGCCGCCGTCGCCGCCGCCATCGCCGCCATCGCCGCCATCGCCGCCTTCGCCGCCATCGTCGCCGCCGATCGCTCCACCGGCCCCCCCAATCGAGTTCCAGGTCACCGTGGGTGGCGGCAGCTGGGAGGGAGAGGTGTCGTGGACCCTGACGTGCAGCGGCGCGTTGATTGGCAGTGGAGGGGCCCCCTACTCCGGCACCCTGTCCGCGCCGCCCGGCGAGTGCACGCTCGACATGTACGACTCGTGGGGCGACGGCTGGAACGGCAACCTGTGGGAGGGTGCGGGCTATACGTTCACGCTCGACTCCGGATCCTACGGCAGCGAGACGTTCATCCTCATCCCACCGTCGCCGCCACCGCCGAGCGCATCACCGTCACCGCCGCCGAGCGCATCGCCGTCACCGCCGCCGCCCTCGCCGCCGTCACCGCCCGCGCCTCCGTCGCCGCCACCAGCAGCGCAGCTGCTCGACCTTCGCACGGCCATCACGTACCAGGACTCGAGCTTCTACAACAAGCAGGCGCCCGTGAGCGACCTGTCATATGCCGACAGCACGACGGGACGGCCGTGGGCCGAGTGCGGCCAATACACAAGCCACACGTGGGGCGTCGACCTCGGGAGCGAGGTGTATGTGCGCTACGTGCGGCTGCAGAACCGCAACGACTGCTGCCCACAGCGGCTGACCGGCATTGACATCTATCTCGGCTCGACGGCGGAGACGTACACGGGCAACGCGCTGGTGAAGTCGGACGTGAGCGTGTCGTCGAACGTGATGTTGGAGGTGGAGATCAACGCGCTGGGGCGCTACATCTACCTCAACCGGCCGTCTGCGGCGGGGCTGACGGTGTGCAAGTTCTACGTCTTCGCTTCGCCCGCGCCGCCGTCGCTACCATCACCGCCTCCCCCGCCGCCGTCACCACCATCGCCGTCGCCACCATCGCCGCCGCCGCCATCGCCGCCGCCTCCCTCCGCCTCACCATCGCCGCCGCCGCCCTCAGCATCGCCGTCGCCCCCGCCGCCGTCCGTCTCGCCGTCGCCGCCGCCGCCGTCCGCCTCACCCTCGCCGCCGCCGCCCTCAGCATCGCCGTCGCCCCCGCCACCCTCAGCATCACCGTCACCCCCGCCGGCATCCGTGTCGCCGTCGCCGCCGCCTCCCTCAGCATCGCCCTCGCCACCGCCTCCCTCCGCCTCACCATCTCCACCGCCTCTCTCCGCCTCACCGTCACCACCGCCTCCCTCAGCATCGCCCTCGCCGCCGCCTCCCTCCACCTCGCCGTCGCCGCCGCCGCCGTCCGCCTCACCCTCGCCCCCGCCGCCCTCAGCATCGCCGTCACCCCCGCCGGCATCCGTGTCGCCGTCGCCGCCGCCTCCCTCGGCATCGCCCTCGCCCCCGCCGCCGTCCGCCTCGCCCTCGCCGCCGCCTCCCTCCGCCTCACCATCTCCGCCGCCTCCCTCCGCCTCACCGTCACCACCGCCTCCCTCAGCATCGCCCTCGCCGCCGCCTCCCTCCACCTCGCCGTCGCCGCCGCCGCCGTCCGCCTCACCCTCGCCCCCGCCGCCCTCAGCATCGCCGTCACCCCCGCCGGCATCCGTGTCGCCGTCGCCGCCGCCTCCCTCAGCATCGCCCTCGCCCCCGCCGCCGACCTCGCCACCGCCTCCCACGCTGCCGCCTCCCGCCCCTCCTCCATCCCCGCCTCCACCCACGCCGCCGCCCTCACCGCCGCCCTCACCACCACCACCCTCGCCACCACCGCCCTCACCGCCGACCTCGCCACCGCCTCCCACGCCGCCGCCACCCTCACCGCCACAACCCTCCCCTCCTCCACCCACGCCGCCGTCGCCCTCTCCGCCGCCGGTCTCTCCGCCCCCACCCTCGCCGCCACCGCCGTGCGATCAGATGTGTCACTTTGCAGGAGCGGCCGAGGCGTTGCCCTGCTCGATTTTTGCCGAGGTGCCGTGTCCGCTTCTCGCAGACAGCGGTTGTTCTCAATGTGCCGGGTGCTGTGGCCTGTCGCAGTGCATGTCGACTCCGTCCGCCTTGCCGTCGCCGCCGCCTCCGTCCGCCTCGCCGTCGCCTCCGCCTCCGTCCGCCTCGCCGTCGCCGCCGCCTCCCTCCGCCTCGCCGTCGCCGCCGCCTCCGTCCGCCTCGCCGTCCCCGCCGCCTCCGTCCGCCTCGCCGTCCCCGCCGCCTCCGTCCGTCTCACCGTTGCCGCCGCCGCCGCCACCGTCCGCGTCGCCACCGCCTCCGTCCGCCTCGCCCCCGCCGCCGCCAAGCCCATGCGACGAGCAGAGCTGGCCAGACGTCGACCACGGCCTCGTATGCGGGCCGTGCAAGGTGCTCGTCGATAACTTTGAAACGACGTACGGCACCTGCGGTGGCTACTGCGCGTCGATCAACCGGACCTGCACCGGCGCTTGGAATGAGCATGGCGACTCGTGCTTGGTCGACCACCCTATGGAGTGCTTCACGCAGCTGAAGTCGAGCGACGCGATCTGCGAGTGCGGCGAGGCTGGGGTGGCGCCAGCGTCACCCCCGCCGCCGCCAAGCCCATGCGACGAGCAGAGCTGGCCAGACGTCGACCACGGCCTCGTATGCGGGCCGTGCAAGGTGCTCGTCGATAACTTTGAAACGACGTACGGCACCTGCGGTGGCTACTGCGCTGCGATCGGCCGCTCGTGCACAGGGGCGTGGGAGGAGCATGGCGACTCGTGCTTGGTCGACCACCCTATGGAGTGCGATCAGTCCATCGACTCGAGCGACGCGATATGCGAGTGCGCTGCGCTTGCGCCGCCGTCTCCGCCGCCGCGGAGGCCAGTGCCGCCCTCCCAGCCTTCGCCGCCCGCGTCGCCACCACTGCCGCCTGCCGTGGTGAGGTTTGCGGTCATTGGCGACTTTGGCGTCAGCAACCAGATGGAGCGGGACGTGGCTGCGCTGGTCGCAAGCTGGGACGTCGACTTTGTGATCTCAGCGGGCGACAACAGGTACGACTCTCACACACTGAACGAAACGGTCGGGGGTATTGCGCTCTATGGAGCCTTCCTCCCCGACGCTCCGGCTGGGCGCGAGAACCGATTCTTTCCTTGCGTCGGCAACCACGATGTGAGCGACGGCGGCGGCATCGCCGAGTACCGCCGCTTCTTCTCGCTGCCTGGCGAGGGCGTGGCGACCAGCGGCACGTCTGGCTCCGAGCTGTTCTACGACTTTTACCAGGTAGCCCTTCCTCCTCCCCCAGGACCCCCCCCCCCCCCTCACGCACACGCACGCACGCACGAACACGCACGCACGCCCTCCTCGCCTCCCTCGCAGGCAGACGGTGCATTGCACGTCTTTGTCCTCGACTCGGAAGCTGTCGACGCGACCATCCCGCAGCAGCAGACGTGGCTCCAGGAGCAGCTCTCACGCTCGAGCGCGGCGTGGAAGATCGTCGTCATGCACCATTCCCCGTTTTCCAGCAGCAGCAAGCACGGGTCCAAGAGCTTCATGCAGTGGCCCTTTGCCGAGTGGGGCGCGTCCATCGTCATCTCCGGTGGCCTCGCCCTCGCCCAGCTCCTCTCACTCGCCGCCTGTATGGCCGCAGCAGCGCCGCCCTCTCTAGCAGCAGCCCCGCCCCCTTCAGCAGTAACGCCGCCCTCCCGTCTCGGAGCAGGCCACGACCACCACTACGAGAGGATTGAGCACGGCGGCATCGTGTATTTTGTCAATGGCGCGGGTGGCAGGACGCTCTACTCCGTTTCCGACCAGCTCGTGGACGGCAGCAAGGCGACTTTTGACAGCGACCACGGCGCGCAGGTCATCGCCATCGGAGGAGGCGCGGCCCCTGAGCAACTCACCCACAGCTCTCTGCGCGCCTTCCCTGCGCGACCCCCTCCCCCTTCCCCGCGTCTCGCCCCCCACCTGCCACCCATCCGTGGCGCAGGCTACGTGCACTCCGCTTTCGTCAGCCGCACCGGCGAGGTGGTTGATGAGGCTGCCTACTCGCTCGCCTCACTCACGTGGACAGCACCACCCCCCGCGACGCCCTCGCCGCCCTCGCCGCCCTCGCCGCCCTCCGTGCCACCGGGTGAGTGCGATGAGGCGTCGTGGCCCGACAAGGACGGCGGCCTCGTCTGTGGCAAGTGCAAAGTGCTGGTTGATAACTTCGACAGCTACTACGGCAGCTGCGACGGCTACTGCGCTGCGATCGGCCGCTCGTGCACAGGGGCGTGGGAGGAGAGCGGCGATACCTGCACAGTCAAGCACGACATGGCGTGCGATCAGTCCATCGCCTCGAGCGACGCGATATGCGAGTGCGCTGCGCTTGCGCCGCTCTCTCCGGGCTGAGTGCCGCGCATGGCGGCAGTGGCGCGGGGGGGAGGTGGGTGGGGTCAGGCGGCGGCGGGCGGGCGGGTCGGTCGGTGGGTGGGTGGTTTCGGGGGGGGGGGTTTGCCAGGGGCGTCTCGTACCTTTGCGAGGCGGCGCAGGTCTCGCGCCTCTCGCGCCTCTCGGCCGCGGGGGTTCGTAGAGTGCGCCAGGCAGCGTAGAGGACGTGGGGGCCGGCGCGATTTGGGCGATGCGGCATTGGGCATTGCGCGCAGCACTGGCCACTGCTCAACGTTCCGTTGGCTCGCGGCGCCTCTCGATACACCATGTACGCGTCGGACACGACGCGCGCGCCGACGAGCCTCCTATCTAGTAGCATGAATGGCAATGCTCAATGCACAAGCCTCATGAATGGCAATGCTCAATCACAAGAACGTGTTTCTGTTGTGTGTGCCTGTTGCTGTGCCGCGCGGGAGATCACGTGTTACGTATTACGCCACGGCCCACGCGTGGTAGCTGGTCGGTACCGCGTGTAAACAAGAATTTTTTCGACCCTCGAGTCTCGGCTCTCGCTCCGCCCGTGAAAGTAACTCACCTGCCAGTTCCTCAACGCTCAAGGCTAATTAGCGCTGCATCAGCGTCAGCCCGACTGGGTTGCTGCGGCTCCGCGCTCCGCCCACTCGGCCGGCTTGCAGTCTACCCGTTCGCCGAGGGCGTCGCACTGCAGCTCGTCGAGCGAGGCGAGGAAGCCCTCCCGCTCCCGCCGCTGCTCCGCCTTGATGCCCTTCTCGCGCTCGCGGCGCGAGCGCAGGAAGGCCTGCATTGCCGCCGACGGAGGCGCGCCCCCCTTCTTCCTCCGCCCCTTGCCGACCGAGTCCGAGGCGAGCTCGTCCGCCACGGCCGCCGGCGCCGCGGCGGCGTCCTCGGCGGCGTCCGCGGCGGCCACCTCCCGCTCCTCCGCGGCGATCGTCGCCGCCAGCGCCGCTCGCGCCTCCGCCTGCCGCGCCTCCTGCGCGTCGACGTCCGCCTGCAGCGCGGCCGCCCTGTCCGCGGCGAGCCTGGCGGGGGGTTGAGGGAGAGGTTGGGAGGGAGGGAGGGAGGGGGGGGAGGGGGGGGAGGGGGAGGGAGAGGGGGGGGGGGGAGGGAGGGGGAGGGAGGGAGGGAGGGAGGGAGGGAGGGGGGGGGGGGGGGGAGAGAAAAAGAAAAAGAGAAAGAAAGAGAGAAAGAGAGAACGAAAGAGAGAGAGAGAGGCCCCTGCGAGCCTCCGCGGCTCCACACGGCGCAAAAGGCTCGCCCACCGGCAGGGGGTCGGACCCGGCCCCACAAGGAGGGGAGGCCTGTGGCCCCCCACTTCGGGTCTCCCTGTGGGAAGGGGAGGGAAGGGGAGGAAAACTTCTCAACTCACCCCCAGGAGGGGGGGGGGGTGGAGGAGGGTGAGGGGAGAGGAAGAGGGGCGGTGGTTCGCCTCGAGGGTAGCCCACCGCTCGGCGAGCTGCAGCGTGCGCGGCGTGTAGAAGATGTGGTCGAGCGCCCACTCGACGCAAGGCCCCTAAGGCCAGGTCAGGTCAAGGAAGCTTCTCCACACACACGAAGGTGGTGGGGCAAGGGCCAGGCTAGCCCTCGCGACTCCACGTCTAGACAGGCAGGAGCCGTTGCGTTGTACACCTTCCGCTCCAGCGGATACTTCTGCGCCGGAAGCCTCGTCAACTCGAGCGTTGTGCTGACCGCGGCGCACTGCCTAGTCGACGACCACGGCACCTACCTCGAATCCGTTTGGGCCTCCGTCCATCGTCACGACATCACCATGACGGCGGCGGCAGAGATGAACGAGCTAGAGAACGAGCGCGGAGGAGCTGACGGCTGCGCAGCCAACATTTTTGTCTCAAGTATCAAGGTCCACCCGGACTACTCATCAGTCACGGAAGGCGCCGACGTCGCGTTGCTCTACCTGTCGTCGCCCGCGCCCTGCGCGGGACAGGAGACGCCGATCATCGCGATCGACACCGGAATCGACGACTGGGCTGGATCCCAGCTGACCGTGGCTGGCTGGGGAAGAACAAGCTCTAGCCCGAGGGCTAGCCCGCCGACCTCGGATGTGCTGCGCGAGGCCGACGTCATCGGCGTCGCGAATGTGGGCTGCGAGGCGGCCTACGGGAGAGCCGACATGACAGGGATGCTCTGTGCATCCGACGGCTCTGCCAGGGGGGATGCCTGCCAGGGAGACTCGGGCGGACCGCTGTGGAGCGCTGCGGGCGCTGAGCCCGTGCTGGTTGGAGTCGTCTCGTGGGGAATCGGATGTGCCGATCCAGACTACCCGGGCGTCTACGCGCGCGTCGCGCACTACGCGGACTGGATTCTCGCGGGCGCCGCCGACACCGATGCCACGCCGTACCCGCCCCCGCCGTCCCCGCCGCTCTCTCCACCGCCGCCGTCCCCGCCGCCCCTGCCGCCATGCCCGCTCGGTGACGTCTGCGTCGTCGACGGCCCGTGCTTGATCACCGACGGCGGCTGCGCCACTTCGCCCGAGTTCCCGAACGACTACGCAAACTTCAAGGACTGCACCATCACTGGCCTGCCGCAGGCCGCGCTGGATGTGATCGCCTTTGACGTGGAGGGGGACGAGGACTCTTACTTCGACTACGACGGCGACGGCGACCCCACGAATGACTGCACCTACGACTACCTCCTCGTCAACGGCGTCAAGTACTGCGGCACCTCGGGCCCGGCCGGGGTCGTGCCGTCGGATGGGAACATGGCGTGGGTCTCTGACGAGATCGAAACCAGGCCAGGCTGGAAGGCGCGCGCTCCCCTCCCTGCACCTCTGGCTCCCACACACTGCCCTATCCCCGCCTCTCGCGCTCACCCAGCCCCGGTGCCCAGTCCGTGCGCCCCCCCCCCCCTATCACCGCAGGTGTGCTGGGCTGCGCAGCCGCCATCGCCTCCTCGGCCGCCACCATCGCCACCCGCGGCACCCTCCACGACGCCGTCGCCGCCGCCGCCGTCGGCCTCGCCGTCGCCACCTCCTCCGTCAGCCTCGCCCCACTCGCCGCCCCCACCCTCCGCCTCGCCATCACCGCCGCCGCCCTCCGGCTCACCTTCGCCACCACCGTCCTCATCGCCCTCGCCACCGCCACCGTCGGCGCCGCCCTCGCCGCCGTCCCCCTCTCCATCGCCGCCCCCGCCGCCCTGGCCGCCAATGCGGCCAGGCGAGGCCAAGGCCCCCGCCTCCTCCTTCGCTCTCAAGATCAGCGCGACCCGGCGGCAGCGTGCGCTGGCCGCCATCGACCAGGTCGAGGCCGCCGTGATCAGCTCTTTCGCCGCCACCGACCCTCCTGTGACTGTCACCGCCGAGCAGATGACCCTCGAGGACCTCGGCGATAGCAAGGTGCGCGTGACCATCGTCCAGGCCGAGGGAGGGCCGACCGTCGAAGACTTGACGGCCGCCGCGGAGCAGCCAGCCTTCCTCACGCGCATGGCAGTGGAGCTGGAGGTGGCAGAGGTCTCCTTCGACCTCCCGCCCGCCACGATCGCGGTGATTGTTGCGCCGCCGCCACCCTCGCCGCCGCCACCCCCTTCCGGGCCTACCCCTAGCGCGGTCTCGAACGGACGGACCACCGACGAGGACAAATTCCCCGTCGTCCCCGTCGTCGGCGGCGGCGTCGGCGCCGCCTTCCTCGTCGCCGCCTCCCTGATCGCCAGAAGTGCGCTCGCCGACCGCCGGAAAGCGCGCATTGCGCAAGCGCGTGAAGCGGCATCCCATGCGCGAAGTCCCAGTGTGCGTTGCAGCGACGCGGATCTGTCCCTGCGCGCCTAGCCGGGGTTTCTTCCTTTGTTCCTTATTAAGTTGCGATTCGTCAACCTCTTCCTCGTACTTTTCCGAAAATCCGAAATGAAGGTTGAAGCTATGAAAGCAGCACAAGATTAAGTTGTTGTTGGCAGCTTTGCCGCTCGCGGAGACGTTGTAATGGTGATGGCTGGTGCTACAAGGCAAAAGCACCAGCCAACCAGCCATCACCATTACAACGCCTCCGCTCGCCGCGCGCGTGAACAGTGCTCCAGGCCCCAAATGATGTGTGAGTGTTAGAGTTGTTTGGTATTGCCAAAAATCTCTCTCCATCGCCCGACTGCCGAACGAGGAACGTCGGCTTTGAGCGTGGTTTGCCTGAGTTACTGCCAGCCACGCGCCAGTCCGCACCTGCACTTTTTGGGAAAGTACTACACAGGGAGGGTGTACGAATTCTTTTCTTCTGTATGTCAGTGCTTAGCACGCCAGAAAACAACTCTCTCTCTCAGCAGACAGGCTCGACACAGGCGCGGACTGGCGCGTGCTAGCACTAACACAGGCACACGTAAAGAAAGAAAACACACAGCAGGAAGCCACCACACAGGGATTTTAAGGGGAGGAGTGTGGTCTGTGGAGCTAGCCGTCGCCCATCCTTGGGCGGCGTCTGCCTCTTCCTATCTCTCTTCGCAGTCTTCTCTCGCCTATTCTCGCAGCGACCTTCATGCCACCTCGCGATCTTTCTTCCCACTCTCGTCGTTGCCTGGTTTCTTTCTTTGAGAGAGAGAGAGCAATGACGTGTGAGTGTTAGAGTTGTCTGTTTCTTTGTGCCTTGTGTAAAAGAAAGAAAGGAAGAAATTAGACAACCCAAGGGAGGGATGGGAGGACGGCACGCCGCCACCACGCGAGGCCGCGAAATTCTTTTTCTCGCGTGATACCGAACGCCGTTTGGCACGCGGTTTGCACGCTCACGTAGATCTTTATGCGCCGTTTCTTCGTCCTCGTAAGCATCGCCGGGCTCGCCAACGGGATCGAGCTCTCATCGCGGGTCTCTATCGCCGGCTCCGCATCCGGTTCGAACGTGGTTCAGCAAGTCAACACCAGCGGCAGAGTCAGCAGTGGAGGCGGCGGCGGCGGCAGCAGCCGGCAGGCGGCCCGGCGGTCGCTTGAGGGCGCCAGCACGAGCGGCACGATCATTGGGTGCACCAACCCGGTTCCGGTGCAGGGCGGGTGCGCCGCCTCGCTCGGCCTCCTCAAGGGCGACGGCCAGGAGGCCGGCTACCTGCTCATCACGCCGCACACCTCCACCGACGTCTGGCTGGTCGACGCCTCCAGCGGCGACATCGTCCACAGCTGGAGCACGCCGTACGGCACCGGCCACGCCGTCTACCTCACGCCCGGCGGCGACATCGTGCGCCTCGAGAACAACTACTCTGCTGCCTACGACATCGGCATCGCCGGCGGCGCGTCGCATATCTCTGCGTACGACGCGGCGGGCGAGCTCCTCTTCACCAAGGGCGTCAACCAGGCGACGCACCGCCTCCACCACCAGTTCGAGCTCTCGACCTTCGACGCGCGCGCCAAGACGGGCACCCTCTTCGCCCTCGCTGCGTACAAGCTCAGCTGCGAGGAGGCCAGAGGGCTCGGCCGCACCAGTTGCGAGGAGGAGGACGGCCTGTACGTCGAGGCGGTGCTCGAGATCGACACGGAGGGCGACGTGGTGTGGGAGTGGTACATGAGCAACCACGTGTGCGACGGCTGCGACAACCTGACCAAGGTGCCGATCAACTCGGGCTCGGGGAAGCAGCAGGCCGACTGGGTGCACGCCAACTCGCTCGTGTACGACGCGGAGAAGGACGTGCTGCTCATGGGCGGCGCCTACACCAACGAGGTGCCCGTCTCCCCCTCGAGTCATTCTCCCCCACAGACCGCCCTCGCCCCCCCCCCACCACCACCAGCCCCTCGAATCCTCCTGCCCCACCCGACCCCGCCTCTCCCGCCTCAGCAGCAGTACTCTCCCACCTTCAGGTGTACGTCATCAATCACACCTCGCCGAGCGAGACGCCGCTGATGGGCGACGGCGCGCCGGCCTCGCTCCTCTACCGCTTCGGCGCGGGCCGCTTCGGCGAGCAGCACGACGTGCGCGTGCTGCCGTGCGAGGACGGCCTCTGCTTCACAGTCTTCAACAACGGGCGGTACGAGAAGAATGGCTGTACGTTCGACGGGAACGGAGTGCAGTCGACGGAGTGCAGCAGCGAGGTGCTGCTCACGACGCTGCCCCTCGCGGTCCTCGACCCCAGCCAGGCGACGCCCCCCGCGACCGAGGTGGTGGTGCAGGCGCTCTTCAACGCGAGCACGCTGCCGGACGGCCTGCTGGGCGACGGCTCCGGCAAGTTCCTGCGGCTCACCGACGGCAGCGACGTGCGGGAGCTGGACCCCTTCTTCAGCCTCATCCTGGCGAGCGCGCAGCTGGTCGGGGAGCCCTTCACGAATGGGTCGTACCTCTCGGTGATGGTTGGCACGACCGGGACTCTGTTCGAGGCGTACTGGAACGCTTCTGGCCTCGGCGCCTACTCGGACGTGCGCCTCGTGTGGCAGGTGCCGGGGGAGAACCCGCTCGGCTCGGGCAAGCCGGGCCCGGGCAAGGCGCCGAACGTCCTCAACTGCACGCTCCCCGGCCTCCAATTCCTGTCGGGCACGCCGAACGCGGGCTGGACGACGAGGGCGTTCAACGCGCAGCGGTACTCGCCCGACATCGTCGGCTGCCAGCCGCCTGTGTCGCCGCCGCCGTCGCGGCCCCCCTCCGCGTCGCCCTCGCCGCCTCCGCCGTCGTCGCCCTCGCCGCCTTCTCCGCCGCCTGCCCCACCCGCTGCCCCACCCGCTGCCCCACCCGCTGAACCCCCGCAATCACCGCCAGCCTCCGCCTCGCCCTCGCCACCACCGCCCTCTGCCTCGCCCTTGCCACCGCCGCCGCCATCCGCCCCCTCGTCTCCGCCGGCGCCGCCGTCGCCGCGGCCGCCGCCCCACCTGGTCTTTGTGCTGACGGACGACGTCGGCTTCAACGACTTTCACGACAGCTCCGACATTGGGGAGGCCTGGAACAACACGAGGGCGCTGCTCTCCGAGGCGATCCAGATCAACAGCACCTACACGGAGACCATCTCGATTCCTTCGCGCCGCTCCTTCCTCACGGGCCGCCAGGCGCGGCTGGTGACCCCCGGGAGGGAGGGGCAGGACTGGTCGAAGAACGAGACGACGATCGCGCACAAGCTGCTGGCGCAGGGGTACGTGACATACGCGATCGGCAAGTGGTTCGCTGGCTACACGAGCTGGACGATCGCGCCAACCGGCCGCGGTTTTGCGCGCTTCTTCGGGCAGTACGAGAACATTTACAGCTACAATTCGCCGTGCACCAAACCCGCCGACAACGACCCGCTCAAGCCGCGCTGGGACACCTTCTACTCGGAGGCGATGCCGTTTGAGACGCGCGACGCGAGCTTCGAGGCGCCGTTCTTGCGGTACGGGCTAGAGGCGATCGGGCCCGACGGCAACGGGCGGTACAAGACGGAGCTCTACGACGACAAGGCGACCGCGTTCATCGAGCAGCACAAGCTGTACCACCCCGACAAGCCACTCTTCCTCTACTATGCACCCGTCCCGATTCGTGGCGCGGGCGGCGACAAGAGCGACCACCCGGACGAGTACATGGACGCGCCGGCCTGCGCAGGGCTGGACAATGAGCGGCGCCGGAAAGCCTGCGCGGCCGCCGTCGCCCTCGACGAGTCGGTTGGCCACCTCGCATCGGCGCTCAACACCGGCGCGTACGCGAACGACGACCACGTCGTGGCGATGACCGCCGACAACGGCGCCGCCACGTGGAGGGTCACGTCCGGCGGCAGCAACGCCCCCCTGCGCGGGAACAAGTACGAGGTCTTTGAGGGCGGCGTGCGCCTCAAGGCGCTCGTCTGGGGCCGGCATCCAGGCCTGGCAAGCAGCCCGCTGCTGGGGCAGACGTATACGGGCGGACGAGTGCAGCTCATCGACTGGCACGCGACCTTCGCCGCGCTCGGCGGGCACGTCGACATCAGCACGTCTGAGGAGGTGGTGAATGCCGGCCTCGACGTGTGGGCCGCGATCACGAACAACTCTGCGTCGCCGAGGACCGAGATGATTGTCGCTAAAGACTTCTACACCCGGCAAGCCGGCGTCGCCTTCTGGCAAGGGCCGTGGAAGCTGATGGTCGGCGTCGCGTACGGGCCCGACCCCAACTTGAACTGCGACGGGGCTGCTTACGGGCCGGCATGTGAGGTTCCTGGCGACAGCGTACTACAGCATTTGGGCCATTCGTTTCCAGTACGCTCGGGTGATAACGACGCCTATCTGCAGGTGCAGAGCTACGATGTGCACGTCGGCCCAACGTGTAATTGCTTGGAGGGCTTCTTTCCGCAAGGTCCATTCGGTTCGGGCTACTCCCTCTACAACATCGACAACGACCCGGAAGAACAGGACAACCGGACGTCCGACTTCCCCGAGCTGGTGGCGAACCTCTCCAGCCGTCTCGACGTGCTCTGGGACTCGGGCGTCCGTTCGGCTCCAGACCCAAACGACGATTGCGACGCCAGCCAAGCGGGAGTGGGGGTCACCGGTCGGCGGCTGGAGGAGACGTGCCCCGACTACCCTCAAGGCGTGGACACCTGCACCCTCCAGCTGCTCGGGGGAAGCTGCTCGGGGGACCCGCTCCTGCCGACCCACTGCGTGCAAGAGGCCGGCTGGTGCACCTCCCCCGTCTGCGAGTCCGCCCCGAACGTGACGGTGTGGCCGTCGCTGCCACCGCCGCCTTCGCCGCCGTCGGACCCCCCCTCGCCGCCACCTCCTTCCGCCTCGCCCTCACCGCCGCCTTCCTCCGCCTCGCCGTCGCCGCCGCCGCCGTCCGCATCGCCGTCGCCGCCGCCTCCCTCCGCATCACCGTCGCCGCCACCTCCTTCCACCTCGCCCTCTCCGCCACCTCCCTCGCTTTCGCCGTCGCCGCCGCCTCCGTCTGCCTCGCCCTCTCCCCCGCCGCCTCCCTCCGCCTCGCCGTCGCCGCCGCCTCCCTCCGCCTCGCCGTCGCCGCCGCCTCCCTCGCTTTCCCCCTCGCCTCCGCCGCCGTCCGCCTCGCCCTCGCCACCGCCGCCGTCCGCCTCGCCGTCGCCGCCGCCGCCGTCGGCATCACCGTCGCCACCGCCTCCATCCTCTTCGCCCTCGCCGCCGCCGCCGTCCGCGTCGCCCTCGCCGCCGCCTCCCTCCGCCTCGCCGTCGCCGCCGCCTCCCTCCGCCTCGCCGTCGCCGCCGCCTCCCTCCGCATCACCGTCGCCACCGCCTCCCTCCGCCTCGCCGTCGCCGCCGCCTCCCTCCGCATCGCCCTCACCGCCGTCTCCCTCCGCCTCGCCATCGCCGCCGCCTCCCTCCGCCTCGCCATCGCCGCCGCCTCCCTCCGCGTCGCCGTCGCCGACGCCGCCGTCGGCATCGCCCTCTCCGCCGCCTCCCTCCGCATCGCCCTCGCCGCCGCCTCCCTCCGCATCGCCGTCGCCGCCGCCTTCCTCCGCCTCGCCCTCTCCGCCGCCTCCCTCCGCCTCGCCGTCGCCGCCACCTCCTTCCGCCTCGCCCTCACCGCCGCCTCCCTCCGTGTCGCCGTCGCCGCCGCCTCCCTCCGCATCACCGTCGCCACCGCCTCCCTCCGCCTCGCCGTCGCCGCCGCCTCCCACGCCGCCGCCTCCCTCCGCCTCGCCATTGCCGCCGCCGCCCACGCCGCCGCCACCTGCCCCTCCGCCGCCGGCGGTGCCGACGCCCTCCGGCTCGCCCTCGCCCTCGCCGCCCGCGCCGCTGCTGCCCTCGCGGCCGCCCTTTTCACCCCTCCCCGAGGGCATTGTCGTGGAGGAGGTGCCCGTGATCAAGTTCACCATCATTGTCACGATCTCCGCCGAAGTGAACGACATCGACGTCACTGAACTCGAGGCCTCCTTTCGCCCTGCGCAGCAGTGCTTCTTGACAGAGTGCAAACTCACCGTGACGCTCCACCCCGTCGAGCAATCGGCAGCCCGTCGGGCACTCAAGGCTGCGGGAACGGTTGCTTCGAGCACGGCCAGCGTGTTCAAGGATGGCAACACACTTTCCGCCGTGCGCAACGCGAACTATATATTCGCCGGGAGCTCGGCCACCCAAGCCGGCAATATCCTGAATCAGCCCGTCAGCGAGGTCGACCCCAACGTCAACGAACGCGAGGACACCGAGCCGCGCGCGGTCGCGCCGCCGCCGCCCTCCGTCCCACCCACAAAGCCGCCGCCCTCGTCGCTTTCACCTGACGTGAACCCGCAGTCCAGGGACCCGCCGTGCTTCCCCAGCTCTGCCACCGCCGCCCTTCGCGATGGGCGCACCGTCCGCCTCGACGAGTTGCGCGAGGGCGAGGCCATCCTCGTCGGTTGGGCGGACGGCACCCTCGGCTTCGACGTCGTCTCCTCTTTCTCGCTGGCCGACCCGTCCGCCAAGGCGTCTTTCCTCTCGCTGACGACCGCAACGGCGACGGTCACGCTCACCCCGACGCACAAGCTGCCCGCCGGCCCGGCAAAGGCGCTCAAGCAGGCGTCCGAGGTTGCCGTCGGCGAGACGATGTGGCTCGCGTCGCCGGCCGTGGGCACGCTCGTGCAGGCGCGTCAACCCCCAGCACCACACCCCTGCCTCTCCCGATGCTAACCTTCCTTCCCCCCTCCTTCCCCCCCTCCCCCTCCAGGAGCCCATCCTCGGGATCGCCTCGGTCATGGCCGACGGCCTGCACAGCCCCCTCACCAAGCACGGAGGCTGGCCGGTCGTCGATGGCGTCGCGACCTCGTACAACAGTGCGGCCGTCGTCGCGCGCAACAAGTACCTCGTTCCGATCGTGGAGGCGGTCTGCCCCTCCCTCGCCCGCCTCGTCGTGGCGGCCACGAACCCAAAGGCGATGCACTACATCGATGGCGAGGTGAGCCCTCTCCCGCGCCGTCCCAAGTTTAGAGTGTCACTTGTCCCCACTCCCTCCCAACCCCACAACCCGCCCAATTTCGCTTCTTCACTCGACCAGGTGGTCGAGCCGCTCTCTTGGCTCGAGCTTGCGTACGCGGCCGTCACGCTCACGGCTGCCAGGACCGCGTTTGGCGCGCGCTCAAGCTCGCACCTTCGTTTGGCGAGGGTAGAGTAGTTGGAGAGCTCAGAGAGAGACGGAGCACACGGTTTACACCGGGCACACGCGACTGGCGCGCGCAGTGGCACAGACAAAAGAAGTTCGCGATATAATTTCAGGAAACGCGCTTGTAGACGGAGCTTCTCGGCCTCGCCCTCTCCGCCGCCTCCCTCAGCGTCGCCCCCCGCGCCTCCGTCAGCCTCGCTCTCGCTGCCGCCCCCCTCCGCCTCGCCGTCTCCGCCGCCACCGCCTGCCTCGCCGTCGCCGCCTCCACCCCGCCGCCGGCGTCGGGGCGTCGCCCTCGCCGCCGCCCCCGTCGGTCGTCGACCCCGTCGGCCTCGCCGTCGCTGCCGCCGCCATCGCCTCTATCTCCTGGCGAGCTGGCGGCCCTATCGTGGGTTTATGGTCAGTGTACGCGACAGTGTGTCCGCCACATTGCCACCGTCGCTGCCCCCGCCGTCCGCCTCGCCCTCGCCGCCGCCACCCTCCACGACGCCGTCGCCGCCGCCGCCGTCGGCCTCGTCGTCGCCACCGCCGCCGTCTGCCTCGCCATACTCGCCGCCCCAACCCTCCGCCTCGCCATCACCGCCGCCGCCCTCCGGCTCACGCTCGCCACCGCCGTCTTCATCGCCCTCGCCACCGCCACCGTCCGCGCCGCCCTCGCCGCCGTCCCCCTCTCCATCGCCGCCCCCGCCGCGATAGCAAGGTGCGCGTGACCATCGTCCAGGCCGAGGGAGGGCCGACCGTCGAAGACTTCGCGACCGCCGCGGAGCAGCCAGCCTTCCTCACGCGCATGGCAGTGGAGCTGGAGGTGGCCGAGGTCTCCTTCGACCTCCCGCCCGCCACGATCGCGGTGATTGTTGCGCCGCCGCCACCCTCGCCGCCGCCACCCCTTCCGGGCCTACCCCTCTGGCGCGGTCCCGAACGGACGGACCACCGACGAGGACAAATTCCCCGTCGTCCCCGTCGTCGGCGGCGGCGTCGGCGCCGCCTTCCTCGTCGCCGCCGCCCTCATCGCCAGAAGTGCGCTCGCCGACCGCCGGAAAGCGCGCATTGCGCAAGCGCGTGAAGCGGCATCCCATCCATGCGCGAAGTCCCAGTGTGCGTTGCAGCGAGCGACGCGGGTCTGTCCCTGCGCGCCCCACCAGGTTTTCTTCCCTTTTGAGTTAAAAAACATTCCTCTCGTAGTACGTAGAAGCAAGAAGGTCACGGTTCCCGCCGTCGGCAAGTCATTCGGATTGATTAGAGTCCGCCCCCCGGTTGCCAACTTTGTGCCTATTTGCAACCATGGCGGGCGCCTTGGATGGCGACCCGATCTCGATGCTGCTCGGCCTCTTTCCCGCCTTTGCGGTGGGCTGGTCGGTGTACAAGAAGTCAAAGACGGTGGCCTCCTACGCGCAGCTCGGCGGGCTGCAGGGTCGGGAGCAAGCGGAGATACAGCTGCTGGCCGAATCCAAATCTCGCGACTCCTCCACTGGGCCCCAGCCCATCAAGATGCAGGACAAGACGTCGTTCAGCTTGAGCGTGGCTGGGATCTGCGCCACCGTTTACCTGCTCGGCGCCGCGCCGGCGCAGTTTTACCTGTGGTACACGCCGGTGGCCGCTGCCCTATGCGCGTTGCGCTGGTACACCTTCAAGAAGCAGCTGCAACACAACCTGCTATACGACTTTTGCTACTGGGTCAACGGCCTGGCGATTGTCTACCTGTGGATCATGTTCCCCTCCTCCACAGTCTTCCAGATCCTCTTCGTCGTTGCCAACGGGCCGCTCGCCTGGTCCATGCTTGCCTACTCGCAGGCGCCCTCGCAGCCACGCCCCGCACACCGCGTTGCATTGGCCCGTGCCGTGAACGCCAGCTCCGCCCGCTGCAACGGCATGTATCCCTTCGATCTCTGACCCCCCCCCCCCCCCCGCCGCCGCCGCCGCAGTCGCTCGTCCTCCACTCCTATTCCCACACGGCGTCCGTCTTTCTTCACCTCGCGCCGATGCTTGTGACGCACGCCCTACGATGGGTCTCGCCGGCCGAGCGGGTGGCTCCGCCCCCCTCAGAAAATCGGGAAGGCGCGCTTGCGGGGCAGGACCCCGCCCCCCCCCTTCGCACAGGACTCTGGAGCGTTCGCCTTCGACACGTGCGACAGTGGCAAGTACGGTTGCTACATCTCGACCGGGACGCTGTGGGGCCAGGCGATGCTCTTCTTCTTCACACCGTGGTTTGTGTTTTACTACCTGTGGGTGTTCAAGAGCGGCGATAAGACGAGCGACCGCTCCTTTCAAGTACTGTACGACCGGGTCACCACGCAGGGCATGGCCGCCAAAGGACTGCAGAAGGTGCTGAGCAAGCTCAAGATTGACACCACGCACGACAAGTTCAAGAAGGCGCTGTACGCGGGGCTGCACTATGGCACCGGGATGATTACCTGCGCCCTCGCAACGCTCTTCTGGCACTCGTACACGGCCCACTCGGCCTTCTTGATTGCCATCGCTGGCGCCTCCATCTGGAACGCATCCGGATTCTACTTCAACGTCTTCTCCTCACGCCAGGCTCCGCCCGGCTCTGCTGGGGGCTAGCGAGCACATGTCCACTATTTAGCCGCGCTGCTCACGTCGAGTCGCTCGAGGAATGGCCACGGGCGCTCTGGCCTCGCTTCATGTCATCGCCTTGCGATTTGCAGTTGGTAGCTGCTTTCTTGCCCGCGGGGACACGTGCGTCTTCTTCGGACTTCGCCGCTATCATCGCGCATTCCCATTCGCCATCTCGGGCGCATGTCCAAATGTTTAGGAGCTCGAACCCGCCGAGGCGGCGGCCTAGGGGTACAGTTTGGGATCTCGGGATGTTAATCATTAACAAGAAACAGGCTCGGCGCAGGTGCCTGCCCCAAGCGGCCGTGGGCTCTCAGTCAGGTAGCTAATGTAATTACGGTCCGGCGCACGAACAAGCCAAAAAATAAACCCTCTCCAATCGGGACAAAGTTGCGCGCATTTGTTTGGTTATCAGCGACCCAGTTTCGGCCCCTACGATCTTTCAGCCCACACCCGCTTTCGCAGTTTCCAGCCCGTTACTTCTCCTCCACCTGGTGGTGCGATGGGCTCCCTCCATGCTGTCAAAAAAGAAAGAACACAGCACCACACCAGGCTGCCGAGGGAGGGATGGGAGGACGGCACGCCGCCACCACACAGGGGATCTCTGTAGACGTACGCCTGATTCTTTTCGCGACCCACAGCGTTGGAGCGACCTGGAAACTGCAGCCGAAAATTTAAAAGAAACACGCTGAAAGGTCATTTTTTTCCGACCCACACCACACCAGAGTTTCGGCCTGCTCGCGAGCTCGAACGATGGCTGTGTGTCGCCTCCACCCCGCCTCCACCCCACCGCTCCACCCACCTCCCCTGCAAGCTCGAGCCCAGCGACGAGTGTGGCCCGACACACGCGCGCCGCCGCCAACACAGTGCTCCGCCCGCCGCTCTGCAGCCGACTGCGTTCAAGGACATTGGAAAGCTGTGCTCGGACCTGCTCTCCAAGGACTACAAGACCGGCAGCAATTCGGTCGAGGTCAAGTCCAAGGTCCCCAACGGCATCGTGCGTGGCCACGCCCTGCCGCGCCCAGCCGCGCCGCGCGCCCTGGCTGGCGCTCGCTGCTCTGCGCAGCGCGCGCCCTGGAGCCGGCCTCCGCTCTCTGACGGGTGGCGAATCGCCGTGCGCAGACATTCACGCCCAAGGCGGACAAGACGGGCGACAAATTCTCGGGCAGCCTCGCCGCCAAGTCTGCGGTGCCCGGCGGCGCTGACCTCGAGGTGACGCTGAAGACGTCGGGCGTCATGTCGGCGTCGCTCGAGGCGGCCAACATGATGAAGGGTCTCTCTCTGACGCTGGACTGCGAGACGCCGGCGCCCGGCAAGCCGGGCCTGCTCTCGTCGGGGAAGGGGACGCTCGACTACAAGACGGACGCCCTCACTGCCAAGGGCTCCTACGACTACTACCGAGGCAGCCACCGCAGCTCCACCACCGCAGCTCCTGCCACCACCGCAGCTCCCCTCCCGCTGTCCCCACCGCCGCCCCTGCCGCTCTCTCCATCTCGGCCGCTCGCTCACCGCTGCCCCCCCCCCCCCCCCCCCGCCCCTGCCCCCCCCGCCCCCCAACCCCCACTCCCCGAAACCCCCCCCCCCACCTCTTCTCCTCCGCCCCTCCACGGCCGCCAAGTTCACACCACGCGCCAGCTATGCAGCTATATAGTGAGGGGAGGGTTGCAGTTAACCCTCACCCCTCGCCCTCGCCCTCGCCCTCGCCCTCGCCCTCACCCTCACCCCAGCCCTAGCCCTCACTGCAACCCTCGCCAGATACCACTGGCTGAACCCACACTGGATTCGATACCCTGGAGGTATGGGACGTAGGCGCTCACGTTTGGCGCGTGCGCGGACTACTCCGTCTCCAAGTCGTCGCTGAGCAAGTACGCCGCGGCGTGCCAGTACGTAGCGCCCGACTTCACCGTGTGCGCGAAGCTGAACGAGGCCCTCGGCAAGCCGGGCGGGATGGTGTACGCGGGCTCGTACTACCACAAAGTGTCTCCAAAGATGCAGGCGCTGAGAGGAGGAGCCGAGATCAGCCGAGAGGCCACAGCGGGGAGCAGAGAGGCGCCGAGCCCTTTCCGGGACCCTTCCGAGACCCTCCCGGGACCCTTCCGAGACCCTTCCGAGACCCTTCCGAGACCCTTCCGAGACCCTTCCGAGACCCTTCCGAGACCCTTCCGAGACCCTTCCGAGACCCTTCCGGGACCCTCCCGAGACCCTTCCCCTCCGTGCGCCGCGCCTCGACCCGCCCCTCGCGGCGGTCGAGGGAGGGAGGAGCCGCCGCCCGCGCGGCGCCTGCCGTGTCCTCGCGGCGCACACAGAGCGGGTGGTTCCGCGCCAGCCTACGACACGCCTCGGGCTCGCCCCGTGCGGGGGTGTGTAATCTAACCGGCAGACATCCCCCCAGACCCCACCCTCTCCACCCTCTCCACCCTCTCCACCCTCTCCACCGGGCAGATACGCCCAGCCTACCGCCCCGCCTGCAGCCTCAACACCCCCCGACCACACCCCACCCCCCCCCACCACACCACAACACCCCCCCCCACACACACACACACGCGCGGTGTGTGTGTGTGTGTGAGTGGTCGAACACGCCCGCCACCGACCGCCACCTGCCTCACCCCGCACCTCACCCGCCGCCCCGGCCTCCTCGCCCACTCCGCCACCCGCACCCACCCCCGCCCCCATCCCGCACCCGCCCCCGCCCCCGCCCCCATCCCGCCCCCATCCTGCCCCCGCCCCCGCCCCGAGCCAGGTTGGCACCGAGGTGAGCAAGGCGGCCAAGAAAGACGCGGTCTCTCTCGCGTTCGGCTGCCAGTACAAGCTCGACAAGGACCTGACTGTCAAGGGCAAGGCGCGAGACTCGCCGAGAGTCGCCGAGAGTCGCCGAGATTCGATCCGCCGAGAGCAGACAAGGACCTCGCAGACCAGGAGGGTATGGCGGGGACTAGGCGAGATTAAGCGAGACTAGCCGAGATCAGAAAACGGACCCGACTGTCAAGGGTGCGCGTGCGATTGGCCCGAGCTTGGCCGAGCTTCCATCGGCTCGCCGCAGGTGGACGCCGACGGCATGCTCTCTGCCTCGTACAAGCACAAGCTCTCAAACATCTCGACCCTCACCCTCGCCACCGTCATCGACACGGTCCACCTCGCCGAGTCGTCAAAGCACAAGTTCGGCCTCGCCCTCAACCTCACCCCCTGAGGCGCCGCCGCGCCGCCGTCGCTGCCGTCGCGGCAGCGCGGCGGCGAAGCAGCCGCAATGGCACGCCGGGGGCGGCGCGGGGCGCTGCCAACGTCGCGCCGGGGGCGACTGCGCTCGGCCCGGCGCTCTCGCGCGGAGCGACGGGTGCGGGGGCGCGGGTCCGGCACCGCCCGGACGCAGCGGCGAGCGGTGGGCGCGCGCCGGTGTGGCCCTGTGGCTGTGCAAGATCTTCCTACGTTCGCGTCCGACCCACCTCGCTGTCCCGGGACGCACACGTGCACATCTCACGTCCCTCGACACGTCGAGAACCGCAAAATATAGGAATTCCAGTCCGCATGAACTCAAACGTAAAGCGGTAGTCTGAAGTGCATCGCGCGCAAGGCGCGCAAGGCGCATCCTTCGCCATGCGGGATGCGCGCTACGCCTACGGCAATTATCCTTTACGGCGGGGGTGTGGACCGTGAGTTGAGGAAATCGGGGGACGAGACGCGACCCACCTCGCCGCAGACGGTCCCGCGCCTCGCCGCTAAGTTTGCGGCACGCCCCGCACCGTCCGCTGTGCCGCGTTTTTTGTCCGGAGTGAAAAGTCCAACGCGCTCGTCGGTGACGGTGTCCCCCAACCTGCGCCGCGCTCGGCGAACCTCGACAGCGCCTTCGGTGGCATGCAGCTCTTTGCGCCTGAAGCCTGGAGAGCAGCTCCTCTGCTGCTCACACACCTCTGCACAGTTGACACAGCCTACTGTGCGGCTGCCGCAGCTGTGACAGCGATGGGCTCGCCCTCACTGGCCCTCAGTCACTTGTGCTGCGGGGCTAAGTGCGGGGCTTGTGTGAGCGACACTGCTCGGCGACTGCCGGCACACTGTGAGACCATGGGTGTGAGGTTAAATCACGCTACCAGCGCTTGGTCACATCGGCCCCGAGGTCAGATCCTTCTACTCTGTTGATGACAAGACTTGTCTACCGGCTGGAGCCGAGCAGGAGGGCCCGGCTCACAACCCCCTGGAGGGTCCACACCCTTTAGCCGCTAGCCCCGGGAGCGCGCCGTGGCGGACCGTGGATAATTGCGCTTTGGCCTCTCGTTTGCGGTGCCCCCGCCGTTTTAATTAGCCGTAGCGTTCGATCGATGAAATGCTTTTGACGGTAAAAGAATCTGTCACTGTGCGCCGATGTTCGCGCGGGGGCCCCCGGGCGCCCGGGGTTTTGTTGTGTCTGGAAAGAATATCGAAAATAGAACCAAATCGTGTCCAAATCGTGTCCAAAAAAAGGGGGGGGGGTATGGCGCTTGACAGCGCGCAGTGAAAGGGTGACTGACAGAAAGTCAGATGGACGGGGTTACAGACCGGTCGCGCTGAGCCCTGGGTCTTACAGCCTGACAGACACAGACCCGGCTTCTCGAGGCGCTCGCCTGCAGGCGACAGCCGGCGCAGCGAGGTGGTCTCACCCTCACCCATATCGACCGTGTACACGCAGCCACGGGTAAAAACACGATGCCCTCGGAATGGCGCCTAGGGTTCAATGGGCTGAACGAGAATTTGAGCAGGCCGTGCACACGGTACTGGCTGACAAAGAGGGAGCCGTCCTCGCTGCAAGCAATGCCAGTGCACCAGTTGCTGCGAGCAAGCCAAGCTGGTCCACTGCCAACTGACCGCTGCCGCTTGCGCACAGGAATCGCAGGCCACTCGTGCAGCACAGGCCTACGAGGGTGTTACAGGCTGTTATGTCCGTTCTCGGTTGTCTGCATGCGATCGCAGCCAGGACCTCCTGGGCGAGGCCACACGCGGCCAGCTGCACGCACAGCTCCGAGTCAGCCGGCGGCTCGGGGCTGTTCGTCGTCGTCGTCCTCCTCCGCCGCCGCCGCCTCGGGCTCGAAGTTAGCTGGTGGCGGCGCCGGTGGCGGCGCCGGTGGCGGCGCCAGCGGCGTGTGCCGGTCGCTCCCCCGTCTTGTGGGCACCTGCAGCACCTGCAGCACGTCTGTGGGCACCTGCGCTGCTTTCCGAGCAGGGACCGAATCGCGACCGGCAGCTCGCGCCCCAGCGGGGCACGCAGCATCGGTCGTCGTCTCGAACGTTCGGTCGATTATGGCCCTGCGACTTGGAAGCCGGGTCGATTCCGCATGGTACGGGACCCCTCGCTCGATCGTCTCGCCCTCCCTCACTGGTGTGTTCATTGGGGGGGGTCATAACAATTGAGCACCTCGCTTCTGTCCCATTCGATGTGATCAGCCACAAGATCCACCATCGCTCCACGGGAGAACACGGAAAGGAGTCGAGACAGGATGCGAGCGAGGACTCTGACTGGATCGCTCGGTCTGTCCGGCCCAAGCCAACCAATCTATCTCGCCAGGCACGTGCGCAACGTCCCTCGACACCACTCACTGCAGCGCGCAATAGAGCAGCGAAAGGCCTATTTATGTCTCAAAGAGACAGAAAGACAGCGCTTAAGGGAAAAGAAAGAATTTTGAGGCCTGGGAGGACGGCACGCCACCACCACACCCCCGAATGTTCATATGGGCGACGGCTTGCCGCCTCCGCCGATAGTCGGAGTGCCGACGCTGCGAGAGCTCGCCGAGTGGCACAGCTACAACGGCGTCCACCACCCCACATTTGCTCACGGCAGTGCCGCTGTAGTCGCGACTGCTTTTGGCAGCCTTCTCGGCGCCGGCCGGGCTGTCTTCTTTGCTATGACTTGCCCGCTGGCTGAACGCGCCGCTGGGTTCGCCTTCGCGTTTCGCGGTGCGGCTCCCATGTACATAATACCGTTTGTCATCGGCGCTCAGTGGGATTTGCTCGAGGCAAGCTGGGCACGCCGCGGCCAGCGGCGCCGAAGCATCGAGCCGCACGCTGCCGGGCATCTCGGGTAGGGACGAAAGATAGCGTGCATGCGCGTGTCCGGCCTCTGCAGCGTGCCGGAAGTGGCGGTAGCTGACTGCATTGGCTCGGAGATCGTCAAGGAGTGGTGTGGCTGGGGTGCGTGTTGATGTGAGAGCGGAGAGCCGCATGTGTGAAAAAAACTGGTATCGTTTATGGCGGCCGGCGCAGGGCCGTACCTGAGACTGTGTAGCGTCTTGAGAGGGCGAGAAGGCCGAGGGAGGAAATTAAACGAGAGCTAAAGCAGCGCAGCGGCCCTCAGTCGAGACAGTCCGCGCATCGGAATGTGCCGAGCACTGTGAGGTGCTGTCCCTGCGTAAGCGATTGGTTGCGCTCTCGCGCGAAGCAGCGAGAGATCCTACACGGCTGCGGACATCGATCACTCGGCGCTGGACGAGCTCTTCTTCTCCGCCGGCGGGTCCTCGTCGCGCAGCTCCATCTCGCTGATGAGCTGCCGCAGGTCCGCCAGCTGGATCTTCCCATCCGAGTCTGGGTCGAGCTGCTCCAGCACCTGCAGGGGTGGGGCACCCGGAGCCGCTCCGGGTGAGTCGAAGAGAGCCGGAGGAGCCCCCCCCCCCCCCCCCCCCCCTATCACCTCAATCTTTCTCGCTCTTTCTCTCTCGCTCGCTCTCGCTCTCACGTCTCTCGCCCGCCTGCTTCATCTGCTCTGCGTGCGGCCGCTTCCGCTTGTTCATCGACTCGAGCGCGAGCATCAGCTCCTCGTACGAGAGCACGCCGTCGCCGTCCAAGTCGATCGCGTGCAGCGACGCGCCTACGACAAGCAGCGCACCGCTAACGCAGCTGGCGGCGGCGGCGGCCTGCCCTGGCGAGGCGAGGCGGTACAGGGGGGAGGCGGGGAGGGAGGGAGGCGGGGGGGGAGGGGGCGGCAAAGGGAGGAAGCGGAGTGGGAGGGGGCGGCGGGGGAGGGGGCGGCGGGGGAGGAGGCGGCTCGATCTCCGTGCGCAGGCGGCTCGATCGAAGATGCGGGGAGGAGGCGGCTCGATCGAGCGTTCTGATGGGGCGCGTTCGGATGGGGCGCCGATCGAGCCGTCTGCCTTCTCGATCTCCACGCATCTTCCCCTATCTCCTCCCATCTCCCCCTATCTCGCGCCGATCGAGCCGTCTGCCTCCTCGATCTCCGTGCGCAGCGAGTCCATCATGACGCGCACGCGCGAGTCGAGCATGCGCGCAATGTAGGCGGAGCCTGGCGGCGCGGGCAGGCGCGGGGCACGCGGCAGGGTGCGGTGGGAATGGAAGTAGGGAGGAGAGAGGCAGGCGGGCAGGGAGGAGGGAGGCGGGAGCAGGGAGGGAGGCGGCAGAGAGGAGAGAGCACCGCGCCACCGAGGGCGGCGGGAGAGCGAGGGCGGCGGCGCTTGGTATGTGGGGCTCTACGGCGCGCCGGGCTGCTCCGCAGGGGCTGAGAGAGAGAGAGAGAAGAGAGGGAGGGAGGGAGGGAGGGAGGGAGGAGGGAGGGAGGGAGGGAGGGAGGGAGGGAGGGAGGGAGGGAGGGAGGGAGGGAGGGAGGGAGGGAGGGAGGGAGGGAGGGAGGGAGGGAGGGCAGGGAGGGAGGGAGAGAGAGAGAGAGGGGCGGTCTCACCTTGAGCCTTTGCCTCCTCGATCTCGGTCGCGCTCTCCAGCCTCTCCGCCTCGAGCTTCTGCCACTCCTTCTTCTCGCCTGATTAGCAATGGCGTGCTGAGTAGTGCTGAGTAGTGTGACTTCGCTCCTGCCACTCCGTCGTCTCGCCCTCCAGCGCGCTCGTCGCGGACAGCGTCTCCACCGCCGCCGCGATGTCGCGCACCTGCTCCCGCGACAGCCGCGTCGCCTCCTCCTCCTCCACCTCCTCCGCCGTCGCCGCGCCGTCGGCAGCCGCGGGCGACGCCTTCTCCGCCGCCGCCTTGTCGCCGCTCCCGCCCCCGCTCCACGTCACAGCCTCCGCCGGCCGCACGCTCGACGGGACCTTGTCGACGCCTGCGCGCTTGAGCTGCCTCTCCTCCTCGACCAGCTCCGCCTAGACCTCCTCACACCTCCCCATCCCTCCCCATCTCTCCCCATCTCTCCTCCTCGACCAGCTCCGCCTCGCGCTCGAGCGACGCCAGCGCCTCCTTGGTGGTGGTCGCCGCCCCCTTGGCCGCACCGCTGCCCGCCGAGTCGATCACCTCCTCGCGCATCGACGAGAGCGCGACCTGGTGGCGGGAGAGGTGGGGAGAGAGATGGGGAGAGATGGGGAGAGATGGGGAGAGATGGGGAGAGATGCGACCTGCGCGGCCTCGTCGTCGAGCACCTTCGACGCCGCCGCCGCCTCCCTCTCCGCCTGGGCCTCTTGCTGGTAGTCGCGCACCTGCGTGGTGCTCACGCCAACAGCCTCAGGGGAGGGTGGTGCAGTGTCCTCTCTCACGCACCGCGCGAGTAGGCGGGAGGCGCACACGTGTGCGGCGCCGGTGTGCGCGTCCTCTCGAGCGCTGGGTGGACGGCAAGAGGACGCGCTCCGCTAGAGCACGCGCTCCGCTTCTAGGGCCACGCACGCGCGCGAAGCGGAGCGCGTTGGAGAGCAGCAGCAACACGGACGGGATCTCGCGGTTCTGCGACAGCTGCAGCCACTCCTGCAGCGCAGCCGCCATCTGCGCCTGGCCGAGCCCCGCGCTCGGCAGCCCTCTCGCGCGCATGGCCGCGAGGAGCTCGTCTCGGGTGAGCGAGCCGACGCCCTCCCACATGATCTCCTGCGGAGGGAGATGTGGCGAGATGTGGCGAGATGTGGCGAGATGTGGCGAGATGTGGCGAGATGTGGCGAGATGTGGCGAGATGTGGCGAGATGTGGCGAGATGTGGCCGACGCCCTCCCACATGCTCTCCTTGTCGTCGTTGCGGAGCTGGCGCAGCTTGGTGCGGAGCTGGAAGCGGAGGACCGGGTCGGGGCCGAAGGAAGGCATGCCGAGGAAGTTGCAGAGCAGGGTGAGCTGCTGCCTGTCGGGGAGATTGGGGGAGATGCGGGGAGATGCGGGGAGATGTGGGGAGAGATGGGGCGGGGCGGCGTGTCTCGCCTGTTGAGCGCGTCTGGTGAGTCGACATGCTTGAAGTGCGACATGACCTGCAGCGTCTCCTCCCGCGACAGACGCTCGCCTGCGCCAGCAGCAGGTGCGAGAAGAGAAAAGCATCTCTGACCAGATCTTCCCATATCTCCGCAGATCTCCCCAGCAGGTGACGAGAGTCTGCGAGTCGCAACCACAAGGGCCACTCGCATCGCCGCTGCTCTGGACTGCACTCCCCACATCTCCCCACATCTCCCCACATCTCCCCACATCTCCCGCTGCTCTGGACTGCACTCCCCCCAGACCCCGCGTGAAGTCTCGAGGAGCCTGCCTAGGACCCCCGCCTCCCCACGGCGATGGCCTGCGCCAGCACTGCCGGCCTGACGCGCCCCCTGCCCTCCTCTCCTCTCCCTATCTCTCGCCGTACCTCGCGCACATCCCGGCTGTCTCTCGGCTGCGCGCACCCTCCCTCATCCGTCGCATGAACTTGCTAAACAGGTCGCGCGGGTACGGCTCCTCCGCGTCGCCGCCGCCCGCCTCCGCCTTCGCCTTGGTCGCCCTGTTCAGCTCCTTCGCACGCTCCTCCAGAGTGTGCTCCAGCACCTTGGCCACCTCAAGACGCACCTGCGCAGAGGCGAGCGCCGGCGCCGTGAGCCGAGGACGTCGGTGGATCGGGACGCCGTGGGAGCTGCCACCGCCGGCCGCCCCGCCGCCCTCAAGGTGCCGCCGGCGCCGCCCTCGCGCGCACCTTGAGGAGCTTGATCCGCTTCTCTTCGATCTGGTGCTTCTCCTCGAACGTGGACGGCAGCAGGTTTGGGAAGAGCCGGATCGCAAACGGCAGCGCAAACTCCATCATCGGCACGAGGAGGAAGAAGGCGAGCGGGATGACGCGCAGCAGATCGCCCAGCACCCGCACCAGCAGGCTGTGCTCG